AGTTAAAAATAGAATTATCATCCTTCAATTCTGCTTCTGAGTATATACCCCAAAGAATTGAAAACAGGGTTTTGAAAAGATATTTGTACCCCATGTTCATAGTACTATTATTCACAATAGCCTAAACATGGAAACAACCCCAATGTCCATTGACAGATGAATTGATAAGCAAAATGATATTCACCTATAATGGAATAAGATTTAGCTTCAAAAAAAATTTTTTTTATAATTTTTTAAATTTTTATTTATTTATGATAGTCACAGAGAGAGAGAGAGAGAGAGGCAGAGACACAGGCAGAGGGAGAAGCAGGCTCCATGCACCGGGAGCCCGACGTGGGATTCGATCCCGGGTCTCCAGGATCCGCCCTGGGCCAAAGGCAGGCGCTAAACCGCTGTGCCACCCAGGGATCCCTCAAAAACAAATTTAACATATGCTATAACATAGATGAAACTTGAAGACATTATGTTAAGTGAAATAAGCCAGTCACAAAAAACAAATATGTGCTATCTAAAATAGTAAAAATCACAGAGTCAGAAAGTAGATGGTGGTTGCTGGGGACTGAGAGGAAGGGATAGTTACTGTTTAATGGCTACAGAGTTTCAGTTTTGCAAGATGAAAAGAATTCTAGAAATTGATGGTAGTCATAGTTCTACAATATGAATGTACTTAACATCAATCCTCTGAACATGTAAAATGAACAAGATGTTAAATTGTATATGTATTTTGCCACATTTTTTAAAATTAGGGGGGAAATGCCCTATTACTAACATCACACTTACAAAGTTGAAAGCCTGAATGTTGTCCTCATATGATGTAGAACAAAGAAAGAATATCCGATTTCACTACTTCAGCATATACTATAGTTATTAACTAGGTGAAATAAGGAAAGAAAAATAAAAGCTATAACCTAGATTAGAAATTTAAAAAGCAAGGGATGCCTGGATGGCTCAGCAGTTGAGCATCTGCCTTTGGCTCAGGGCATGATTCCAGGTCCCAGGATTGAGTCCCGCTTTGCACTTCCTGCGGGGAGCCTGCTTCTCTCTCTGTGTTTCTGCCTCTCTCTCTCTGTCTGTCTGTCTTTCATGAATAAATCAATACAATCTTTTAAAAAAAAAGAAATTTAAAAAAATTGTATTTTTTGAAGATTTTTTTATTCAGGAGCACCTGGGTGGCTCAGTTGGTTTAAGCATCTGCTTGCGGCTTCAGGCTCTCCTTCTGCCCCTTCCCATCCCCTGCTCATGCTCTCACTGCTCTCTTTCTCTCAAAAAAATAAATAAAATCTTTTAAAAACACAAAGATACATTTAATCATGAATCTATAGACTTTGGTTTTATTTTAGGGTTCCTATGGTTTAAATATTTTACCTACAATACTTGTCCTTACTTAGAGATCAGGGATAATTACTGGGTTTCAAACATCCCCAATATTTATGTTCTTATTAATCATCTTAAATGTTCAATGCAGGTAAGTTATAAACTATGACAAGAAATCTTTCACATGTATAAATGAAGAAGTTAGAATTTTGAAAGTCAAAAGTATACCATGCCTCTCAAGAAAAAAAAAAATCTAATGCTTTCAATGGTACATCATTACTACAAAAATTGGAGGTGGCAATGTAATTGGTTAACACTTTTGGAAAGTAACTTAACAAGAGCTTTAAAAATTTTTTTGTAATAATGAAAACAAGAAAATCTCTATGACCTGCTCTTTCTATTTCTGCCAATTTCACTCTTAACAATGATTTAAAATATGGAAAAAGCTTTGAGATAGCTTTGAAAAAGCATGAAATAAGGAAATGGAAACAAACTGAATGTACCACAATATAGTTAAATAAACCATTAGCATTCTCTTAAAAGTGTTATGCAAAAAAAAAAAAAAAAAGTATTATGCAGTCATTGGTGGCACAGTCAGTCAAGCAGCCAGCTTTTGGTTTCAGCCTCATGTTGGGGATCTGCACTCAGCGGGGAGTCTGCTGGAGATTTTCTCTCTCTTTCTCTCTCTCTCTCTCAAGCAATAAATAAATTTTTAAAAATACTATGCAATCATTAAAATTCTTTACAAAGGTTGTGCAACAGCATAGGAAGACATAAGGTAGAATATATTCATATATGTATGATTACAATGATGGGGGGGAACCTATGCATAAACACTGGAATTCACAAAAATGTTATCTGCTTTTTCTGTTAGAGAAATAAGAGTAAATTTTTTCTTATTTTTCTGTATTTTCTAAATTCTATTTAATAGTATATACAAACTTAAAAATTAAACACCTGGGCATCCTGGGTGGCTCAGTGGTTTAGGGCCGCGATCCTAGAGACACAGGATCGAGTCTCACCTCAGGCTCCCTGCATGGAGCCTGCTTCTCCCTCTGCCTGTGTTTCTGCCTTTCTCTCCCTGTGTCTGTCATAAATAAATAAATAAAATCTTAAAAAAAAAATTAAACACCTACTAAAAACGTGCTAGGATAATGAAATAGAAAAATATGTGGTATAAAAAGCACAGTAAGTGTATTTACATTACAATATGACTGTCAAGTGTGTGTGTGGATGGGGAGAGGTAGAGAGGAGAGAAGTGAAAAGGAGGGAGAGAGAGAGAGATGGAGAGAGAGAAAAGCCAAATACTAGGAAGGGTCATATAATGTGAAATGATAGTTATTTTTTTCTCTTTATTCTCTAAACGTCCTGTATTTATTTGTTACTATTATAATAAATGCCTTTTTGAGAAGTATACCTTGCTAATCACTCCAAGGCCCTCTACTTTGCCCTAGGCCTCATCTTATCTCAGCTTGCTACTGGGACGTGCCTTGTGTCAAAACAATGAGAGGTCTATAGGGCTTTAAAACTCTATTGTGTCAAAAAATTAAAAATACCACCAATAAAATTCTATTGTGTCTTATTAGGATTTATCAAGCCCACAGCTAGAATGGAGGCCAAGCTGCTGCAGTGACTTTTCATCATATAGTTGAAAGAATATTGAATGGAAACAAAAAACAACACTGGTTGTATTCTCTGCATTTTTGTCCAAGGAAATCATTTAACTCCATTTCCTAATTCCCAAAGTAAAAGGGTCAGATTACTTGTAATAAGCTCTAATTATAGGTCATGTATATAAAGGTGATATCAGAAAAGTCAGACCTGAGTAGAAGAAATGCATGAAATTAGTGTAGGCTGAAACAAAACCCCAAGAGTTTGGGAAACCACGTAATGTGGCTTATCAACACTCAAGAAAAATACGAAGAACTCATTCTGGGCAAAATTTATTATTATTTATTTATTTATTTATTTATTTATTATTTTTTATTGTATTTGCTTATTCATGAGAGACACAGAGAGAGAGAGGCAGAGACACAGGCAGAAGGAGAAGCAGGCTCCATGCAGGGAGCCCAATGTGGGATTCGATCCCGGGACTCCAGGATCATGCCCTGGGCCAAAGGCAGGCGCTGAACCGCTGAGCCACCCAGGATCCCCTGGGCAAAATTTAAACAAGAAGTCTGAGTAATGGCACATAGCACTAGCAGCAGGGCTTGACCAATGCAGTGATTTTTTTTACTCTACTTAAAACAGAACTTCATGGTAGGAGCTAGGAGTACACATGAAGTTTAAGTTGGCTCTCCAGGCTAGAGTGAAAATATGGAGAACAGTGCTGCCCCAGGTACATGAATCTTTCACTGAGAAAATACTGTGATGAAACCCAAAAGGTTCATTTAGTTCTGGGAGTCAAAGTACCTCTCAACTAACACTGTCCAATAGAACTTTCTCAAACGATGGAATTGTTCTTGAACTCACAACTGCAAGATCAAGACCTGAGCTGAGATCAGGAGTTAGTCGTTTAACCAATTGAGCCACTCAGGCACCCTGGTTCTTCTTAAATTTAGCCAAACATACCTAAAGAAACAAGAATTCTTCTTTTGAATATGAAGTATATTTTGTTTTTCTTTATAGCCTTTATGGATATATGTTGTGTGTGGTAATTTAATGATTCCATAAGAAGTTAAATCAATTCTAGGAATTTTACAAGAATTCATGCCCTTTCCAGAGTAAACTTGGATTAACCACATTCTGGGCTCAACCTGAAGATGTATTCACCCAAGATGAACCAGAAACAACCTTGGCCTCAAGCGACCTTCTAGACTAAGGACAAAGTGAAACATAACAAGTGCAGGGATGAGCTGACGGCTCTTAGACCTGCCTATATCTTTAGTTTAGACTAGATCTGGGTTCTGGAGTTTGGAAGGGCACAGTCATTCGTTCAGTGGCACTCCGATTCGGCACATGCAGACAAGGATGTTCCTAATTGTAGATTGTCCCAAAGTTTCCTATAAGCACAATAGAGTTCTATATAAGAGTCAACTTACAGATTTTTAAAACCAGACTCTAGACCTAGAAATCCAGACATATGCCAACTTATTCCTATTGTGACCCAATGAAAAAAAGAGATAACCCAATGACGCAACAGGTTTATTGGTTATTGTACACAAATGAATGTGAGCAACTTGCAAGTATTCACTATAAAAAGGGCGGCTCAGTGCCTTCTTTCACTTAAGAAAGTATACCAAACTGGGGCATCTGGCTGGCTTAGTCAGTAGAGAATGCAACTCTTGAGGGTTTTAAGTTCAATCCCCACACTGGGTGTGGAACCTAGATAAAAAAAAAAAAAAAGTATACCAACTCCAGGAAAATAAAGGGGAATCAAACTTCAAGTTTACATAACAGACATACTCATAAAAAGCCCCTGCTTTGTTACAAAAATGGACAAAATCTTCTAGAAGTAAATGGAATCAAAAGAAATTAAAACTGGGATATTGATTCCTATAATAACATTGACTAGTGTTTGTCTATGACATAAGACAGACATTAAAAATTCAAAAAAAGAAAAAATAAAAAAAATTCAAAAAAAGAATTTTTCTCAGCTTTTTTGAGGTATAATTGATAAATTAAAGTTAGTATTTTAAGAAAGAAAAAAGTACTGGTAAAGTTATCAGGTACCAATTTTTTTTTAATTTATTTATTCATAGAGGCACACAGAGAGAATGAGAGGCAGAGACACAGGCAGAGGGAGAAGCAGGCTCCATGCAGAGAGCCCGACGCAGGACTCGATCCAGGGTCTCCAGGATCACGCCTTGGGCTGCAGGCGGTGCTAAACCACTGCGCCACCAGGGCTGCCCCAGGTACCAATTTTTTTTAAACTTATTGATACAAGTTTTACCAACCCCCTTCAAATAAAAAAATACAACAGAAGTTTAAAAGTCAGGGTCGCCTGGCTGTCTCAGTCAGTAGAGCATGTAACTCTTGAACTTGGGGTTGTGAATTCGAGCCCCACTTTGGGCATAGAGCTTACATTAAAAAAAAAAAAGTTTAAAAGTATAGATTCTTCCAGAGACTAGCCCCAAGATTTTTCCCCTTCTCAAATCCTCTAAACCCAAATTATGATAAATTATTCGCTGTGACCACTGAGAACATTTCTGCACAGTGACATAATCAAAAATTTTTCTTCTCCCATTATTTAACTTATTCATTCCCTCCTAATCAAATTCTAGGCATATAAGCAAGAAGATATAATTTTCCCTGAAGCCTTCATTCCTTTGAGACTGAGGCAAAAATAAATTTACAACATGACAAACTGAAGCACTGAGGAAGGCCCTATTGGCAGAGGAAATGAGCCACGTTCACGGTCTCAAGAATAAATTGCACATCTCTAAGATAAATGTGGAGACAGATTTATCCAAGAATCGGTTTTCTCCAAGGCTGGACAGGGAGGAAGTGTGGGAAGCACAGCTTTTCTAAAAGGATGAAAGGTGTCACTTGGAGATACTTCGGTTTCCTGAGGAAGGGAAGGAGACACTGAAACATCTTGTTTTGTGCAATTTAGATCTTCCTGGTTTTCCACCATCAGTAACTGTGCTATCTTCTCTTTCAAAGATAAACTTGTCTGAAACTCTTTGAGTTTGAGGATCTTACTGTGTTCTTTTTGGGTTATTATTCCCTCTTCCTCTGGCACCTCTGACTCAGGGCAAATGAGTTTGTTGATAAAATCCTCACTGGCTTCTTCCTTCGTGGTAGGTAGATGCTGAGGTTCTGTCAAAGCTTGTTTATTTTTAGATTCTTCTTTCAGCAAATTTACATCCCGATGAGATGTAAAACTTGGCGTTCCATCTAGCATAGAGTTTTTACAAAGTAAGGAAATCCTTTCATTCCCCCCTTTCCCTCCTGTCTCTGTCACCAATTTCTTTGGATGTAGCACTGTCCTTATTAGGAGTCCCTGTGCATTCATACTGTATTCTTTTGCAGCTCTCTCTCTGCGCTGCTTCTGGAAGTCCTTGAGTTGAAGCAGTTCTTCAGGAAGCTCCATACATGTAGGCTAAGAAAAAAAAAACAAGAAAATAAGTGTACTATAAGTAAACTTCTGAATATGGTCCTTAAAATCACTTCTACTATACTTAACCAGAATTTGGTGAGGATCAATTCAAATGTGCTCTTATGGCTCCCTCTAGCGTATTCAATTATAGTAGTACTATTTTTTGATCAAGTTAAATATTTTGAATCTACAGTTTGTGTGTGTGTTGTGCATTGTTATGCATGTGTGTATGTATAAAGATTATACAATGAAAAGTGTCCCTTCCAACCTGCTCCCAGTTGCCTTAGTGAGTACATCTTCTAAAAAGCAGTTTCTTACATAGCCTCCCAAAGATAGTCTGTGCATCTGTGATCATGTTTGTGTACATGTTACTAAATGTTTATATTTTCATTGCATTGCATTTTTCAATTTTAGTTTTCTTCCAACCTTTTATTTTGATGACTCTTTCTAAAAATTATTTTACACAAATGGTAACACAGTCTTATATATTCTTCTGCATCTTGATTTTTTAAACTAAAAATTAGTCTTGGAGATTTTTCCACATTAATATTTTTAAGAGCTATATGGATATGCCATAATTTATTTAACCAAATCCACCTGGATAGATATTTTGTTGTTTCCAGTAGCCTGTCATTACATAATGTTATAGTAAAGAATATATTAAGAAAATGTCCTCTTTGTTACATGAGGCAAGTAATTTTTCCCAGGTTGCTTTGACTTTCATCACAGTATTTTCACCAAAGGAAAACTTCAAAGTCAAATTTGTTAATCTTTTATGAGTTCAGAGTATTCCTGCATTACAAAGGCATTCCCTCATACAATTCAATAGCAAAAAAAGCAAACAGTAATCCAATTTAAAAATGAACATAGGATTTGAATAGACATTTTTCCAAAGAAGACATTCAAATGGCTAATAGGTATATTAAAAAGTTCTTGACATCACTAATCATCAGGGAAATGCAAAACACAATGAGGGGATCCCTGGGTGGCTTGGCAGTTTGGCACCTGCCTTTGGCCCAGGGCGTGATCATGGGGTCCTGGGATCGAGTTCCGCGTCGGGCTCCCAGCGTGGAGCCTGCTTCTCCTTCTGCCTGTGTCTCTGCCTCTCTCTCTCTCTCTCTCTCTCTCTCTCTCTCTCTCTCTCATGAATGAATAAATACCTCTTTAAAAAAAATAAAAAATAAGACACAATGAATTATCACCTCACACCTGTTAGGATGGCTATCGTCAAAAAGATGGCAAGAATGTGGAGAAAAGGGAATCCTTATTCACAGTTGGTGGGAAGAGAAATTGGTACAGCTACTATGGAAAATAGTATGGAAGTTCCTCAAAAAATTACAAAAAGAGGTACCATGAAGTCTAGCAATTCCACATCTGGATATATAAACAAAGGAAATGAAATTACTATCACTAAGAGATATCTGCACTCCCTTTACATTGTAGCATTACTCACAATAGCCAAGATATGGAAACAACCTGTGTACGTCAATAGATGAATGGATTAAAAAGATGTGAGGTATATATATATAATATATACATACACTCACGATGGAATATTATTTAGCCATTAAAAAGAAGAAAATCCTGCCATTTGTGAAATGGATGCACTTAAAGGGCATTAGGTTAAGTGAAATAAACCAGACAAAGAAAGACAAGCAGGGATGCCTGAGTGGCTCAGCGGTTGAGCGTCTGCCTTCGGCTCAGGGCATGATCCCAGGACCTGGGATTGAGTCCTACATTGGGCACTTTGCATGGAGCCTGCTTCTCCCTCTGCCTGTATCTCTGTCTCTCTCTCTGTCTCTCTCATGAATAAATAAATAAAATCTTTAAAAAAAGACAAACATTGTATGGTATCATACACCCATATGTGAAATTATTTTTTTAAAAAAGCTTATTTCATAGAAGAAGAATAGAGGTTGCCAGCAGCTGGAGGGAGGGGAGAAAGGGGGAGATGTAGGTAGAAGAGTACAAGCTTTCAATTACAAGAAAAATAAATTATAAAAAAACAAATAAACTCTAAGTGCTGCATATTTACCACAATAATTCAGTATTATATACTTGAAAATTGCTAAGAGAAGATCTTCAGCATTTTCAGCACACACACCAAGTTAATTATGTGAAGTAATGGATATGTTAATTAGCTTAGTCTTGATAATCATTCCACGATGTATTATATATATCAAATTATCACAATGTATACTTATATAAAATTAATTTGATCAATTATTCTTCAGTGAATTGGAAAGGGGAGAAAAGCATTTTTTTTTAGAAAAGCATTTCTTACTGTGAAATAATTTTATTTTTTTTTTAAGATTTTATTTATTTATTCATGAGAGACAGAGAGAGAGAGAGAAAGGCAGAGACACAGGCAGAGGGAGAAGCAGGCTCCATGCAGGGAGCCCGACATGGGACTCAATCTCGGGACTCCAGGATCACGCCCCTGGCCAAAGGCGGCGCTAAACTGCTGAGCCATCCCGGCTGCCCGAAATAATTTTCTTTTGTTTTTTTTTTTTTTAATAATTTTATAATCCTATTGTTTACATAAATACTTGATCTGAGGGGTATTTTTTGGTAATCCAACTCTGACTCTCCTCCCCTACAATGGTTAGTCAATTACTTTTTTTTTAATTTTTATTTATTTATGATAGTCACACAGAGAGAGGGAGGCAGAGACATAGGCAGAGGGAGAAGCAGGCTCCATGCACCGGGAGCCCGACGTGGGATTCGATCCCGGGTCTCCTGGATCGCGCCCTGGGCCAAAGGCAGGCGCTAAACCCCTGCACCACCCAGGGATCCCGTTAGTCAATTACTTAAAGCCATTTATTGATTATCTTTTTCTCATTAGTTGGAAATTCCACTTTTATCCCAACCATACTGGTAGATATCTTTTTTTTTAAGATTTTTATTCATTTATTTGAGAGAAGGCACATGTGAGAAAGAGCATGAGCAGGGGAGAGGGGCAGAGAGAGAGAGAGAGGAAAAAGCAGGCTCCCTTGCTCAGCAGGAAACCCAATGAAGGCTGGATCCCAGCACCCTGGAATCATGACCTGAGCCTAAGTCAGACGCTTAACTGACTGAACCACCCAGGCGCCCCTATATTGGCAGATATCTATTATATCTATTGCTGGGTTCTGTACTATGATCAATTGATCTGCCTATACATGTACCAGTCACAAACCACTGTTTTTTTTTTTAATTTTTTTATTTATTTATGATAGAGAGAGAGAGACAGAGACAGAGACAGAGAGAGGCAGAGACACAGGCAGAGGGAGAAGCAGGCTCATGCACCAGGAGCCCGACATGGGATCCGATCCCGGGTCTCCAGGATCGCGCCCTGGGCCAAAGGCAGGCGCCAAACCGCTGCGCCACCCAGGGATCCCCACTGTTTTGTTTTTAACTAATCTCTGCACCCAACATGGGCTTCAAACTTACAACCCTGAGATCAAAAGTTGCAGGCTCTACCATGCTCTACCTGAGCCATGCAGGTGCCCCAAAAATGATTTTTATTTAATGTAGAGTTATAGGACTTAATATCCAACAGGACTATTCTTATTTATATGTATTTATCTTTATAAACACTATAATCACAGTTTGCCAAAATAATGCTGGTGTTAATATTTTTTTGGAATAGAGGTAAATTCAGGAGTCAGTTTGGAAGTAATGGATAGCTAAAAATGCTTAGTGTTCTCATTCATTTAAGTCTTCTTTTGTTCCATTCAGTAATTTTATTTATTTTATTATTTTTTTAAAGATTTTATTTATTTATGAGAGACATAGAGAGAGGCAGAGACACAGGCAGGCAGAGGGAGAAGCAGGCTCCATGCAGGGAGCCTGATGTGGGACTCGATCCCGTGTCTCCAGGATCACGCCCTGGGCTGAAGGCAGTCTCTAAACCATTGAGCCACCCAGGGATCCCCATTCAGTAATATTTTAATGTTTTCTTTATATTTCACATTTCTTGTAAAATTTATTTCTAGGTAATCTATCTTTTTGTTACAATTATAAATGGATGTTTTCTCCCATTGTATTATCTTGCTGTGTATATGGATGCAGGAAAACTATCAATTTTGATGTTACATTTGTACTCATTTTACTAAATTGTTATTTTGTTTGTAGTAATCTTTTTCCTTTGCTTTTCTACAGTTTTCAGCTGTATCATAGGCAAGTCATAATTCTGATTCCTCCTATTCATTTTTTATAGTTTGTCTTTTCTTTCTTTTCAAATTTCATTGGCTAATAGCTTCAAAAAATGTTTAAGTGGTAGTAGTCACAATTTTTATATTTTCTTGACACTAATGGGAATGCTTTTAGTGTTCCCAATCAAATATTATGTAGACTTCTTATTTGAGATATGTTTTATCATGTATTCCAACTTTAATCAGTAATGTATATAAAATATCTAATTTTTTTAGTATTAAACAGTAAAAGCAAAATACAAAAAGTTACAAAATTCCTTAGTTTTACAACAATAAATGAAAGACATTTAAATTCTCCAGTCGAACAAGATATGCAAGGATTTTTATATTGCTCTTTTCTTGTTAAAACAGTGAGAGCAAAATACAGAAAGGTTACATTTTTCTTTCAGCATATATGAGATTATCATAAGACTTTCTTTGTTCTAGGAAAATGGAGAATTTCCTAACACTTTATCATAATTGCAAGTAGAAACCAATAACACATTAGAAGTATAATATACCTAACTAGGGATCACATAAAAACTGCTATTATTTTATTTAGGATTTTGCTTCAGTATTCCTAAGTAAGAATGGCTAGTAACAGCAGACTACAAACTTTTTTGTTTGTTTTTAAAAGATTTTATCTTTAAGCAATCTCTATGCCCAACTCAGGGCTCAAACTCAAAACCCTAAGACCAAGATTCACACGCTCCACTCACTGGGTCAGCCAGGTGTCCCCAGATTGCAACTCTTTTATGTAAGGGGCCAAATAATCAATATTTATAGCTAAATGGTCTCTGTTGCATACACTTTTTTTTTTAAGATTTTATTTATTTATTCATGACAGAGAGAGAGAGAGGCAGAGGGAAAAGCAGGCTCCATGCAAGGAGCCGCACACGGAACTCGTCCCAGGTCTCCAGGATCACACCCTGGGCTGAAGGCGGCGCTAAACTGCTGGGCCACGGGGGCTGCCCCACTTTCGTTTTTTTAAACAATCCTTTAAAACCATGAAGACCATTCTTGCCTCATAAGCTGTACAAAAGCAGACTATGGGCCAGATGTGGCCTTATGGCAATAGTTTGCCAACTCCAGGTCTATAGTTCTGCTACTTTGTGCTGGCTTCTTAGAAATTAGTAATGAAATCTTCAATTTACTTATTCTTTGACAGAATGTAACTTAATATTGTGAAAAAGTACTCAAGGAGATGAAGTAAGCCCAAGCTATAGTCCCTTCAAATATTTATTACCAAGTCTGCCTCATGATTTGCTGTAGTTACAAAGAGGGAGTATCACTGTGCCCACCATGAGGAATGGGATGGGAATAGAAGTTCTAAAAACATAGTCACAGAGAGCCACACCTACCTCTGTGCTTCCCAGGAGATCTGCAGACCCTTCTCGGTAGGTGTTTAGGTACCCGTCCACAAGGGTGGTTAGATCAGACATCATATCATCCAGGAGTACCAAACGAAGGGGTAGTAGGTAGGTAGCTTCTAGAGCCAAAATTTTCAGCAAAGAGGGTGAAAGAGGTCGTGTGAACCACACTTCTGGATTTTCCTAGAGACACCAAAACAAATTTATTTGAATAATAAGCAAAATTTAAATAACTGTTAAAGGGTTGTTTAACTTAAAACATTACTGTCATTTTCTTCAATGACAGTATATTTTTGAAAATACACACACACACACACACACACACTCCTTATGTATGTATACAGTGAATATGTATGTGTGAGAGGGAAAAGATGGGGTGGCAGGGGAGGGATGGAGAGAGAGATCAATCCAGATCAATCAAGGCTTCTCATTCAAAAATGAAGACAGAAGACTTGATTATAGGACCAAAACTGTAGTCAATATGGTCATGATCTAAGTGTGCATGTGAGGTATTAGGAGCTAAGGAAAATTTATCTTGCTTTGGGAGAAATAATTGGGATGAAAAGGTGTTTTTTTTTTTTTTAAGATTTTGTTTATTTATTCATTAGACACACAGAGAGGGGGCAGAGACACAGGCCGAGGGAGAAGCAGGCTCCCTGCAAGAAGCCTGACGAGGGACTCAATCCTGGATCCCAGGATCACACTCTGGGTCAGAGGCAGACGTTCAAGCATTGAGCCACCCAGGCATCCCAGGATGAAAACTTTTTGTTCCATCACCTTAATCCACATTTCCAACAAAATCCTCCCCTGAAGGATTGCAAATTTATTTCAGAGTATTTTCTCATAACCAACAAATCTGAATCCTTGCTTTTATTCACTTGAGATCACAAACTTCCCATTTGAAAAAGCTAAGATTTTGGCAATGCCCATAAGCTTACATAGCAGCTGTCATTTGTCTATATAATACACTGATGATCCTGCTCACAAAACTTAGAAAAATCAGTGTCATGTGATTTTTGATACACACACTTTAATACTCACCTGAATCAATTTCTGTCTCTCTTCCAGAAAGGAGAGATATTTAGGGGCCATCTTAAGGTGTCTGATTAAACTCTCCTTTAAAGAACTGATGCAGTTTGGAAGAAAGCCACCTGTTTCCATGGAAAATTGAAGGACATCTGCTACCTGTGACATAAAAAACAAAACACGGGATCCCTGGGTGTCGCAGCGGTTTGGCACCTGCCTTTGGCCCAGGGCGCGATCCTGGAGACCCGGGATCGAGTCCCACGTCGGGCTTCTGGTGCATGGAGCCTGCTTCTCCCTCTGCCTGTGTCTCTGCCTCTCTCTCTCTCTGTGTGACTATCATAAATAAATAAAAAAAATTAAAAAAAAATCCTGTCTGTAGAATATATAGAAAGCTACGTCATGGCAGAAATATTTAGATTTATATATATTTAGAAAATGTCTTTAGACATTCTTAAATATTTAGAAATTTAGATACTTTAAATTTTTTAATTTTATTTATTTATTTTTAATATTTTATTGATTTATTCATGAGGAACACACAGAGAGAGACAGAGACACAGACAGAGGGATAAGGCGGCTCTCTGTAGGGAGCCTGATGCAGGACTCCATCCCAGGACCCTGGGATCACAACCTGAGCAAAAGGCAGAGATGCTCAACCACTGAACTGCCCAGGTGTGCCTAGATATATTTTTAGAAAAATGTCTTTAAATACCATTTTCCCCAAAGCCCCATATGATAGAAAATGCCATCAAAAAATTGTTCAACTTATTCTGAAAAATAAGGGAAGAAGTAAAAAAAGAAAAGGCTCACTCAATTTTAATGTATCCTAGTCTCTTTTCTTTTTCATTTCTTTTGTTTGCCTGCCTTATGGTTATCTATTACTCTTTGGTGCCTTTAGGCAATGGGGAAAGGAAGATAAATTTCAAGAATTATTTGTATTACTTATCAGCAACTTTGGCAAAATGTTGCTAAGGAAAGCTAATAAAATTAAGAATTGGAGGGGCATCAGGCTGGCTTAGTTGGTAGAACATATAACTCTTGATCTCACAGTTATGAGTCTGAGCCCCATGTTAGGTGAAGAGATGACTTAAAAATAGTAAAATCTTGGGGCGTTTGGGTGGCTCAGCTGGTTAAGCATCTGCCTTCAGCTCAGGTCATGACCCCAGGACCCTGGAATGGAGCCCCACATCTGGCTACCTACTCAATGAGGAGTCTGCTTCTCCCTCTCCGTCTGCCCCTCCCCCCTGCTTATCAGTGTACACTGTCTCTCAAACAAATCTTTTTTAAAAAATCTTTTAGGGATCCCTGGGTGGCTCAGTGGTTTAGCGCCTGCCTTCAGCCCGGGGTGTGATCCTGGAGTCCCGGGATCGAGTCCCACATCAGGCTCTCTGCATGGTGCCTGCTTCTCTGCCTGTGTCTCTGTCTCTCTCTCTCTGTGTGTGTCTCTCATGAATAAATAAATAAATAAATAATCTTTTAAAAAATTAAGAATTGAACTAATTATTTATCTATGTGTTTGTAGGCTAAATAATGGCCCCCAGAGACATCCACATCCTAATCCCTGGAACTTGTCAATGTTATTTTATATGGTAAAACAGACTTTGCAGGAGTGATTTTTTTTTAAAGATTTTATTTATTCATGAGAGACACACAGAGAGAGGCAGAGACACAAGCAGGCTCCATGCAGGGAGCCTGACGTGGGACTCGATCCCAGATCTCCAGGATCACACCCCAGGCTGAAGGCACACTAAACCACTGAGCCACACGGGCTGCCCATGCAGGAGTGATCAAGCTAAGACTCCTGAGATAGGAAGATTATCTTGAATTATCTAGGTGGGTCCTAAATGTATAAGAGGGAGGCACAGGGAGATTTGACTACAGTCACTGGAGGTGATGAGGATGAATAGGTGATAGAAGCACAGACCGCAGTGGTGTATTTTGAAGATGGCAGAAGCCACAAGCCAAAGAACACAGGTGTCAGCTGAAAAGGCAGTGAAACAGACTCCTCTTAAAGCCTTCAAAAGTTATCATCCCTGATGATAACTTGATGTTAGCTTAGTGAAAATGATTTCAGACTACTGACCTTCAGAACTGTTAAGAGTATATTTCTGTTATTTTAAGCTACTAAATTTGTGGTAATTTGTACAATATCAACAGGAAGATAATGCATTGTGTTAAAGGGAAAAAAATGGAAAAATTCTGAATTACTGCTTCTTGTACTATGGAAATCTGAAAAGTAAGTATGGAAAGATTTGCCAATATCTTCATATGGGGTCTCATCAAGAAGCCTAATGGCCTCAGGGGAACAATGAGCAATTCTCTTACATTTTGGTGTAAGCTAGAAATAATCTCTATATAGTGAAAGATCCTGAAAGAAGGCCCAAGGAAAATGTAAAGAAGAGAAGTGGCGTAAAGTTCATTGTGGGCAAATACATAAAGAGCAAACTGGATGGGGCAGCCTGGGTGGCTCAGTGTTTTAGCACCGCCTTCAGCCCAGGGCCTGATCCTGGAAACCTGGGATCCAGTCCCATGTCGGGCTCCCTGCATGGAGCCTGCTTCTTCCTCTGCCTGTGTCTCTGCCTCTCTCTCTGTGACTCTCATGAATAAATAAAATATACAAAAAAAATTTTTAAACGAATTTCTGCTAAAAAATAATTGGCTATAGGTGTAGAGATTACTTAAAAAAATAAATAACTGGCTAACTCATTATTTTAACCCCTCTCCAAGGGATCTAGACTTAGATATTCAACATGTACCTTTGACAAGCATTAAACCTAGAAGACTAGAAGAACATAACAGATATAATGAGATATAAAGATATAATGAGAACTAGTGGTTTTACTACTCTCACAGCCAAACTAGACACTTACATCAAGTCTAAGAGCTAGCTAGTATTGAATAAGGATTTCTCATTACCCTAGAATTCTTTAGGGCAGAGAAAATCATATTATAATCAGACTATTTTGACCAAAATAGGCTTTTGGGGCATATCTAATCCATGCATGTACCTGTGTGTCAAAGACATTATTCAGCAAAATTCCATACTGATGAGAGAGGCAATCAGAAAGCCAACGACAATCATGGATAACCTAAGGAATCAGAAGAAATTAAGAGTAATTAGAACCTGGTTGCTAATCTTACTAGCAGGGAAATCAGTTTACACACTCACCTTCAAAATTCTCTTGTCTTCTAATACCATCTGAAGTCCATTGTTGAAAGCACGACTTCCCAGAAGGAAAATGTCAAATAAGTAAACTCGGCTATTTGTGGCCACCTATAATAGACCATCCAGACATACATATTATAGGAAGAAAAGAACTAAGGAAGAAGATCTGAGGATCAAGAAAGATACATGATAAAATATTTAACATCCTCACTCTTAAAGAAAACAATAGTCATTCAGTGATTCTTAGGGAAAACAAGTTTAAATCTTAAGAAACTATCATTTGTGATCTTTAGATAGAGAGCGAGCATGAGCAGGGAGAGGGAGAAAGACAATCTCAAACAGACTCTGCACTGCCAAGAGTGGAGCCCACCATGGGGCTCAAGTCCACGACCCCAAGATCATGACCTGAGCTGAAATCAAGAGTCAGACCCTTGGGACGCCTGGGTGGCTCAGCAGTTGAGTGTCTGCCTTTTCCTCAGGGCGTGATCCCCGGGCTCCAGGATTGAGTTCTGCATCAGGCTTCCGCAAGGAGCCTGATTTTCCCTCTGCTTATGTCTCTACCCCGCCCCTCCCTGTGTCTCTCATGAATAAATAAATAAAATCTTCAAAAAAAAAAAAAAAGAGTCAGGCACTTAATCGACTGAGCCACCTGGGCAGCCCTCATTGTAACTTTTCAAGAGGACAGAAATAGACAAGCTGGTGGATTTAGCCTTTGCTTTTTTACAGTCCCAAATTTAATGTTTGACATTTCACCCTCAGCATTTTAATACACCAAGGATCTACGAGGAATTAATAGCATTTCATTGTTATTAACACAAAATGCTATTTCTCAGAGTCTCATAGTATGCATGGTTGTGTTAGGTGTTACATAAAATCACTCAGAAGATTCCTGCTCTCTAGCAATTTTAAATAGGCAACAAATAAGTTGGCACAAGTGGTAGGATGTGAAACACTGTTTTTAAGATCGATTTTATACAATTTTAAGAATTTTAGATTGTTTCTGATCATGAAGTTCACAAAGACAATACTATACTTGGATAATCTACTGAGTCAGAGAATGAAGGCAAAGAGACATCCAAATTGGTCTAGAGAGCCAGAGACATGGCAGTCTAATGCCATATTTGTCATTTGAGGAGCTAAGTGTTGGTATAGCTAAAATTGGCAGTCCTACCTGATATCCATTTTCAGAACTTTGATATTGTTTGCTAGAATAGAACACCTAAAATAGTCACTTCTTTTTCTTTACCTCCTTAATTATAAAAACTGAATAGACACATTATAAAAGTTTGAAAAATAATTATCTGCTGGACTGAAAACTCTGTGAGAAGAGAGATTACACTGGATTCACCACTGTACATGCATCAACTAGAACAGAACTGGGGCGATGAATGGCTTAGACATTTCTTCAGCAAGCCAATACACGCCATACAACACTCCCTTCCATTTTTCATATGCAAACAATGTATATGGCTCTGATAATGTGCATTCCAATCTATATCCTGCTTTTTTCTACTCATAACTCTGCAAACATTTTTCTGCATTGCACTTGTCATTAATTTTTGGCAGCTGTATAAAGTCTATCAAATCTATAGTAATTTCTATTTGTTAACTACCTCAGTGGTTTCTGATTCTTCACCATAAAATGATGCCAAGATGACTAGGTTCTCACATAATTTTTTCATATATTTTTAAAGATTTTATTTATTTATTCATGAGATACAGAGAGAGAGAGAGAGAGAGAGAGAGAGGCAGAGACACAGGCAGAGGGAGAATCAGGCTCCATGTAGGGAACCCAACGTGGGACCTGATTCTGGGTCTCCAGGATCATGCTCTGGACCGAAGGCGGTGCTAAACCACTGATCCACCTGGGCTGCCCAATTTTTTCCATATTTTGAATCATTTAGTGTAGATACCTTGATCGATGTAACCCTGAGAAGTGGGCAAATTGCCAATCCTAATAAACTTTATTCTCTCAGTAGGTGGAGGTAGGTCCTGACTCAAATAATGGAAAACACTAGTGGAGGATTCAGCCTGCTTTTTTGGCCCACCTTAAAAACTGATACTGCTGAGTTTGATCCAAAGGTGGCTGTCTATCCTACAGCTAGTCAAGGCTCACCACAAACTTCTTTCGACACAATGGGGACCCTCACCTGACATCTCCCAGGTCCAGGAAAATGAAAATGTGACAGAACCCTGCTGTGGAATGCTACCAACCAGAAGGAAAGATAAAATTTCTTCATTAAAAAAACCCCAAAACTTCACATATCTTTTTTTAAAAAAGATTTTATTTTGAGGATGCCCAGTGGTTGGTAGAGCGTGCACTTGTTCTCAGGGTTGTGAGTTCAAGCTCCACATTGGTGTAGAGATTACTTTAAAAAATTAAATTAGGGGATCCCTGGGTGGCTCAGTGGTTTAGCACCTGCCTTTGGCTCAGGGAATGGTCCTGGAGTCCCAGGATTGAGTCCCACATCGGGCTGCCTGCATGTAGCCTGCTTCTTCCTCTGCCTGTGTCTTTACCTGTCTCTCTGTGTCTCTCATGAATAAATAAAATACTTTTTAAATTTTTAATTAAATCAAATTAAAGATTTTATTTTTAAGTAATCTCTATACCCAACATGGGACTTGAACTCACAACCCCAAGATCAAGAATTGCACACTCCACTGATTGAGCCAACCAGCCACTCCTGAAATTTTCCATATATCTAAAGAGAGAGAAAAGAGCTGGGGAAGAAGACCTCAAGCAGAGCCTGTGAGACCGCAATGATGATTATTTTTTTTAAAGACTTATTTATTTATTCATGATAGACATAGAGAGAGAGAGAGAGAGAGAGGCAGAGACACAGGAGGAGGAAGAAGCAGGTTCCATGTCAGGAGCCCGACGTGGGACTCAATCCCGGGACTCCAGGCTCGCGCCCTGGGCCAAAGGCAGGCGCCAAACCACTGAGCCACCCAGGGATCCCAGCAATGATGATTATAAAAGTGAAATTATGAAGAGACAGAAGCTCTTTGCTTTTGAAAAGGATAAACTCAGAAGAGTGAAAGACATTCCAAATAAATTATAAGATAGCGACACTGAGGTGACATAAAGAAGACCATTAAGATCAATTTGTCAGTGAAGCCACAATTATTTCAAAATAAAAAGTTGAAAATATCTTTTACCTGAAGCCAACATAGTTTCCCATGACGACACACATTAGCACCTTCTGCTGCCACACTCAGGACACTCTGCTTCTTGATGTGGAGCATCTGGTGAGAAAGAAGAAAATCTCCAGAGAATAAATATTGCTACCATGATATCATGAATAGCACAAGTAAAATGGCTAGCGATTAACAAAGTGGATAATATTTTTTAATTGCAAAATTTGACTAATCCAAAACACAAGTCACCTTCTTTTACACATGCACACACAGCACATTGTTTCTAAATCCTTTTAGTTTTTACAAAATTATAGCACAACTGGAACATAAATAATTCATATCCTAAATGCTAATAAGAGTTGAAAAACTCACTTTTTAAAATTTTTTTAAATTTTATTTATTTATTCATAAGACACACAGAGAGAAAGAAAGGCAGAGACACAGGCAGAGGGAGAAGCAGGCTCCAGGCAGGGAGCCCAACATGGGACTGGATCCTGGGTCTCCAGAACTGAACTGAAGGCGGTGCTAAACCACTGAGCCACCCAGGCTGCCCTCAGAAACCTTTTGTTACCACTAATGCTATGCAAAAGATTTCTATGTCTATGACCAGATTCCTCAAGCAAAGAACAATGCCCTAACACAGGGAAATTTACTATAACTGAAGGGAACTCACACAGTGGCTGAGTCTCACAGTGTACAGTGTTCAAAATGAGAGGAACAAGAACTCAAGAGGTCCCTTAAAGTCTTAGATTCGTCAAGTTACTCAAAATTGATATAGCAGTATTCCAGGAACACATGCTGATCTTTTGATTATCTATAATTTTATCCTCTTTCAAAACATTATATAATTCTAAAATCCTTAACCCATAAACTATGAAAATATCTACATGATACAAGATTCTCCCCACTTTACAGGTAGGTAAATTACTCAAGAACAGAAGGGCATGGTGACTTTCACTAGCATGCTATCTTCCTTTAGTCAGCACAGAGTGCTTCTACATTGAGTATTTTCTATCAATTATGAAAAAGGGGGGTTGAATTTCAGTTCTACCCCCAAGAACAGCAAGAAGGCTGCAAAACTAGGAACAAAAGCTGTATTTCTCTATTGACAAGAATTTCCAACTACCTCTTCAAATTTCCAGTCTTTTTTTAAAGATTTATTTATTTATTCATGAGAGAGAGAGAAAGAGAGAGAGGCAGAGACATAGGCAGAGGGAGAAGCAAGGTTCCCGCAGGGAGCCCAATGTGGGACTTGATCCTGTAAGCCAAAGGCAGACGCTCCACCGCTGAGCCACGCAGGCATCCCTCAAATTTCCAGTCTTTTTTTTTTTTAAGATTTTATTTATTTATTCATAGAGATGCAGAGAGAGAGAGAGAGGCAGAGACACAGGCAGAGGGAAAAGCAGGCTCCATGCAGAGAGCCTGACGTGGGACTCGATCCAGGGTATCCAGATCACGCCCTGGGCTGCAGGCGGCGCTAAACTGCTGCGCCACCGGGGCTGCCCCAAATTTCCAGTCTTATCTCATTTTTTGTCATTGGACCCCCCCTTTTTTTAAAAAAAAGATTTTATTTATTTATTTATTTATTTATTTATTTATTTATTTATTTATGAGAGAGGCAGAGGGAGAAGCAGGCTCCCTCTGGGGAGCCCCAGGCAGTACTCCATCCCAGGACCCTGGGATCACGACCTGAGCCATAGGCAGATGCTCAACCACTGAGCCACAACCACTGAGCCACTCAGGTGTCCCATCATTGGACCGTTTTTTTTTTATTTAATTTTATTATTTTTTAAAAGATTTTCTTTATTTATTCACGAGACATACAAAGAGAGAGAGGTAGAGACACAGGCAGAGGGAGAAGTTCCATGCAGGGAGCCCGATGTGGGACTCGATCCTGGGTCTCCAGGATCACACCCTGGGCTGCAGGTGGCGCTAAACTGCTGCGCCACCGGGGCTGCCCCTCATTGGACCCTTTAAAGAATGTGTTGATATATAAAGAATTCTTACATCTCAATTTAGAAATGGGCAAAGGTAGCACTTGGGTGGCTTAGTTAGTCAAGCGTCCAACTCTTGATCTCAGCTCAGGTCTTTTTTTTTTTAATTAATTTATTTATTTATGATAGTCACACAGTGAGAGAGAGAGAGGCAGAGACATAGGCAGAGGGAGAAGCAGGCTCCATGCACCGGGAGCCCGACGTGGGATTCGATCCCGGGTCTCCAGGATCGCGCCCTGGGCCAAAGGCAAGCGCCAAACCGCTGCGGCACCCAGGGATCCCTAAGCTCAGGTCTTAATCACAGTATCATGAATTCAAGCCCCATGTTGGGCTCCAATGCTGGGTGTGGAGCCTTCTTAAAAGGGGGGAGGGGCGGCAAAGAAGGGGAACTTGGCTGGTTCATTTGGTAAAGCATGGGACTCTTGATATCAGGGTTGTGAGTTTAAGGCCCACATTGTGAATGGAGCTTACTTTTAAAAATAGGCAAAAGGGTAGCACCCGTGGCTCAGCGGTTTAGCGCCGTCTTCAGCCCAGGGTGTGATCCCGGAGACCCAGGATTGAGTCCCACATCGGGCTCCCTGCATGGAGCCTGCTTCTCCCTCTGCCTGTGTCTGTGCCTCTCTCTCAATTTCTGTGTCTCTGAATAAATAAGTAAAATCTTTTAAAAATAAAAATAAAAATGGGCAAAGGAATAGACATTTCTCCAAAGAAGATAAACACCCAACGAACACATGAAAAATTCTCAACATTATTAGGCATCAGGGAAATGTAAATCAAAATCACAATGAGATAGCATTTCACACCACTAAGATGGCCATAATCAAAATGACAGATAACAACAAATGTTAGTAAGAATGTGGAGAAACCAGAATCTTCATATTCTGCTGGTGAGAATATGAAATAATGTAGCAGCTTTGGAAAACAATGGCCAATTCTCAAAATGTTAAACATAGAGTTATTATACTTGTACATATATGTACATATATGAACATTGTACATAGCACCATTATTCATAATGGCCAAAACTAGAAAGAACCCAAATGGTGAAAGGATAAATGAAATATGATATATACATATAAAGGAATGTTATTTGGCAACAAAATTGAGTGAAATACTAATACATGCTGTAACACAGATCAACATGCTAAGCAAAAGCAGCCAGTCACAAATGACCATATATTGTATAATCCTATTTATATGAGATGTTCTAGGGGTGCCAGTCAGTCAGTTAAGCGTCTGATTCTTGGTTTCAGCTCAGGTCATGATCTCAGGGTAGTGAGGTAGAGCTCCTATTGGGCTTTGCAGTGTGCATGGAGTCCTCTTAAGATTCTCTCTCCCTTGCCTTCTGCTCTTTTCCCCCCAACCCCCTGCCCTACTTGCATGTTTGTGTTCTCTAAATAAAAATAATATATGTAATGTTCTAAACAGACAAATCAATAGAGGCAAAAAATAGATTTTTGGCTGCTAAGGGCTGGGGGACTAGGGAGGCATGGAGGTAACAGCCTCGAAGCATAGAGTTTGTCAGTATGAAAAATATTCTAGGGACACCTGGCTGGCTAGTCAGTAGAGCGTGTGATTCTTGATCTCAGGGTTGTGAGATCAAGCTCCACATTAGGTGTAGAGATTACTTAAAAAACAAACAAAAATCTTTTTTAAAATGTTCTAAAATTCATTATGATGTACAACTCTGTGAATATGCTAAAATCCAGTGAACTATATACATTTTAAATCAGTCAATTTAATGGTATATGAATATATCTCAGTTAAGTGGTTAAAAGAAAAAAGAATCTGTGGAAAGCTAATTCTTCCTTTAAAAAAAATCCATCTGTTTACACAAGCATAAGCTGGCAACAAAACAGGAAGCTTTTTTAAAAAAAAAAAAAAAAAACAGGAAGCTTAATGACTCCCCTGAAGTCTGTCTGTGAACTGTATGCTAGGCTCAATAGTTACTGTCATCTCTGAAATTAATAAATGATTATCGAGAAGTTGCCTAGGCAGAATATGTAGAATGGATTTTTAAAAACAAGTAAAAAAGTTTCTCTAAAAATTGCCAATGGCTCTCCATCCTACTCAATCAAACTAAAAATCCTTAACCATGTCTAGTAAACCCTGCTTGATTTGCCTCCTGACTCCTTCCATTTCCTACCACTCTTCTTCACTGTGGTGCTGCCTCCCTGCTATTCCTCCACATAGATTAAGTGTGTTTCAGTCTCAGGGCCTTTGCACTTGCTAATCATGCTTTTTAAAGGTCTTTACCTAAATATCCACAGAGCTAGCTTCCTTACTTCTTTCAGATGTCTGTTCCAATATCACCTCTTCACAGAGGTTTTCTCTGTCCACCTTATATAAAATAGGAATTCCGTATTACTCTACTCTTCAAACCACACTTTATTTTTCTTCACAGTACTTATCAGGAGCTGATAATTGTTTATTTTCTTGCATTGAAATGTAAACTCCTAGGATACCTGGATGGTTCAGCTGTTGAGCATCTGCCTTTGGCTCAGGGCATGATCCTGGGGTCCTGGGAAGGAATACCGCATGGGGCTCCTCACAGGGAGCCTGCTTCTCCCTCTGTCTGTGTCTGCCTCTCTCTCTTTCTCTCATGAATAAATTAAAAGATAAGATTAGGTGCAACGTATAATAGGACACAACTTTTAAAAAATATTTTATTTATTGATTTTATTTATTTATTTATTTATTTATTTATTTATTTATTTATTTTTTATTGGGAAGCCCAATATGGGACTCGATCCTGGGACTCCGGGATCATGCCCTGAGCCAAAGGCAGACACTTAACTGCTGAGCCACCCAGGTGTCTCAATAGGACACAAATTTTAAAAAATGTGAATAAATACTTCATAAGAGAGTACATCATATTATCAACAAAAGTATGAAAAGACATTCAGTGTCATTAGTCATGTCTTCCTCTCTCTGTATGTCTCTCATGAACAAATAAAATCTTTTTAAAAATTAAAAATAAAAGTAAACTCTTTAGGATGCCTAGCTGGCTCAATCAGAAAAGCATGCAACTCTTGATCTCGGGGCTGTGGGCTCAATCCCCACCCTGGGTGTAGTGATTACATACATACATACATACATACATACATACATACATACATAAATAAATCAATCTTGAAAAAGAAATGAATGTAAACTCCTTGATAGTTAACTTTGTCTTTACCATTATTTTATCCCAGACCTCAGAATAATGCCTGACCTTTAGCAGGCACTCAGATATTTTGTTGAATTTATTAGGGAAAACATCAATGATCTCATAATAAGAGAAAAATTCATGAGACAGAAACATGATACCCATATGCAGACAACACTCAGAATGATTAAGGGCAATACTTACTGCAGCACCAAACTTCTGCTGGAACTGATCAATGACTGTGTATGTCACCACCTCTTCCTCTGCACAAGAATGATGGTAATAGATATATTTGTCTTCCTTGGCCTCTCATTCACTTTAGCCATCCTCATAAACACCTCCTGTATTGTAACTCAAAGGTCTAATGTTATTTCATTATCACCTGCATTATCTCAACACACAGTGAACACTCTAGCATCCTGTTTCCCAAATGAGAATAAACAAAAGCCTCACCAGTGAAAATCTTATGAATACAACTATTTAATCATTTCCTGTGAACATCCAGTAATGTTTCCCTCCTCATAGATTTACATCTTAAATATTTTAAGACATGTACTTTTTAAAAAGATGTTCATAATAAAAAATAATGGTTTAAAATAAAATTAGGCCTGGAGATGGGCCATAATCCACACGTCTGGAATTCTCTGGGTCCTTAATTATGTTTTAAAATCGTTTATTTAGGGATGCCTCAGTGGCTCAGAGATTGGGCGTCTACGCCTTTGGCTTGGATCATGATCCTGGGGTCCTGGGATCAAGTCATGAATCGGGTTCCCCTCAAGGAGACTGCTTCTCCCTCTGCCTGTGTCTCTGCCTCTTTGTGTCTCTCATGAATAAATAAATAAAATCTTTTTAAAAATAAATAAAAATAAAATCATTTAAAAGGTTAGAGGTATAGCATAACATTTTTTCTTCATCTCCAACCTCTAAAACTTTGGAGTGGCAAAGGACAGTCTGCACACCTCTTTTTCTCTATCCACACTCACTCTCTTGGTGATTTCATCTAGTCTTAAGGCTGTAAATATCATTTATCAGCTAACTTTTGCATTTCTATCTCCATCTCAGACCTTTCTCCTCCTCTCTAGTCTGACATTCAAACTTAGGTGGACCTAAACTCTTAATCATCTTCCCAAAACCTATTCTGTCCAGAACTGTTCCCATGTCAGCTGAATAGCAATCCATACTTCAGGCTACTCAGACTGAAGCCCCTGAAGTCACCCTTGATTCTCCTCTTTCACTCAAAACCACATTAATATACTAGTACACTGTGTTGGCTACACCTCAACATACATCCAGAATCCCACCACTTTTTACCAACATATGGCTACCACGAGAGTCCAAGCCACCATATCAACTTGCCTTAAAATTATTTCAATAGTCTAACAAGCATTCATGCTTTTACCTTCGTCCTCCTCTCAATATCCATATAATATCTAGAGTAACTTTGTTAAAACAGAAGTCAGATCATGTTGTTCTTCTGCTCAAAACTATCCAATAGGAAGTAGAAGTATTGTTTTTTAAGATTTTATTTATTTATTCATGAGAGACAGAGAGAGAGAGAGAGAGGCAGAGGGAGAAGCAGGCTCCATGCAGGTAGCCCAACGTGGGACTCGATCCCGGGTCTCCAGGATCACACCCTGGGGCGAAGGCAGCGCTAAACCGCTGAGCCACCTGGGCTGCCTGGAAGTAGAAGTATTTTTAAAAATGCTATTTATAATAGCATAAAATATGAAATAGGGATAAACACAGCAAAAGATTTATAAGACTTATATGCCAAGAAGTACAAAATGCTGTTGAGAAATTAAAGATCTCATGGAGGGATATATTGGATTAATAGGTTGGGATATTCGATATAGTTAAGATGCCAATATTCCCTAAATTGATCTATCAATTCATTGTGATTGCAGTAAAAACTCCAGTGGGTTTTTTTTTTATAGACATTGGCATTCTGATTCTGAAATTCATAGGGAAATGCAAAGAGCACAGAATAGCCAAAAAACTCTGAAAAAGAACAAAGTTGGAGAACTAACATTACCAGATTTAAGCTCTATCATCAAACAACAGTAAACAAAACAGTCTAAAAAAACAAACAAAACCCAGTAAACAGTCTAGGGTTGGTGTAAAAAGATCACTATAACAGAGTATAGTATCCAGAAATGAACCTACACATACATGGACAACTAATTTTTGACAAAGGTGCAAAAGTAATTGGAGAAAATACAGTCAACAAAGGATGCTGGAACAATTGGCTATCCTATCCATATGCAAAAAGAAAGAAGGACAGACAGACAGAGAGACACATACTTGGGGGCACCTGGGTGGCCCAGTTTAGTGGTTAAGCGTCTGCCTTTGGCTCAGGTCATGATCTCAGGGTCCTGGGATGGAGCCACAAGTTGGGTTCACTGCTCAGTGGGGAGTCTGCGTCTCTCTCTACTTCTCCCCACTGCTTGTGCTCTCTTTCTCTCAAATAAAAAAAGAAAATCTTAAAAATATATACATATAAAAAGAAATTTGTTGATCTGTACTTCACATCATATATAAAAATGAACTAAAAATGGATTCCAGGCCTGAAGGTAGACTAAAACCATGAAGCCTCTAGAAGAAAACATAGGAGAAAATCTTTGTGACTGAGTTAGGAAAAAATTTTGTAGATATGATATCAAAAGCACAATTCATAAAAGAAAAAAAATGGATAAACTGCACTTTTTCAAAAAAAAACTGCACTTTTTTCAAAATTAAAAATGTCTGCTCTTTGAGAGATAATTTAGGAGAATAAAAAGACAAACCAAAAAATAAATAAATAAATAAATAAATAAATAAATAAATAAATAAATAATAAATAAGACAAACTGCAGACTTGAAAAAATATTTGTAAAGCATGTATGTGAGAAAAGATTTATGTCCAGGATATATAAAGAACTCTCAACACTGAATAATAACAGTCCAACAAGAAGATGCACAAAATATATAAACAGACAATTCACCAAAGATATTCTGCTAGCAAATAAGGATATGAAAAGATCTTAAATATACTTAGTCATTAGAGAAATGATAAAACCAAAAATCTTCCAATGGTTTCTTTTTTTTTTTTAATTTTTTTTTTATTTATTTACGATAGTCATACAGAGAGAGAGAGAGGCAGAGACACAGGCAGAGGGAGAAGCAGGCTCCACAGAGTGAGCCCAATGTGGGACTTGATCCAGGGACTCCAGGATCACGCCCTGGGCCAAAGGCAGGCGCCAAACCGCTGCGCCACCTAGGGATCCCCTTCCAATGGTTTCTCTTCTCACTTCAGAGTAGAAGCTTGAGTCCCTACAATGATCTACAATGTTCTCCATGAAATGCCTGTCCCACTTCATCTCCAATTGCTTCTCTCCTTGCTCCAGCTATACCAATCACACTGATCTCGCTGTTCCTTCAAGAACCTGACATGTTCCTATCTCAGGGCCTTTATATTCCTCTTTTTTCTGCCTAAGAAACATTTCCGGGATCCCTGGGTGGCTCGGCGGTTTAGCACCTGCCTTTGGCCCAGGGCGTGATCCTGGAGTCCCTGGATCAAGTCCCACATTGGGCTCACTCTGTGGAGCCTGCTTCTCCCTCTGCCTGTGTCTCTGCCTCTCTCTCTCTCTCTCTCCATCTCTCATGAATAAATAAATAAATAAAATCCTTAAAAAAAATTTCCTGGGGCATCTGGGTGCCTTAGTTGGTTAAGCATTTGCCTTCGGCTTGGGTCATGATCCAAAGGTCCTGGGATTGAGTCCTGCATGAGGAACCTTGCTCAGTGGGAAGCCTGCTTCTCCTTCTCCCTCTGCCTGCTGTGCTCCTCTCTGTCAAATAAATAAATCTTGAAAAAAAAAAAAAACAAAAAAAACAAAACCACAAACATTTCTCAGATATCCATACAACTCAATCCCTTATTTCCTTCAGGCCTTTGCTCAAATGTTCCCATTTTTGTGAGGTCAATCCTTAACACCCTAAAATTATAAAACCACTCTTCACACGCTTCTCTTTATTTTTTTCTCCTCAGCATTTGGCAGTAACATACTGTATGTTATACTCCTTTTCTTATTTAGTGTCTGTTTCTTGCACCAGAGCTCAATGAAGGCAGTATCCTCAATGTCTGGCATGTAGTTTACCCTTGTATCCTCAATTATTAAATAAATAAATGAATCACAATATTTTGTCTTAATTCAGAGCCTAGAAACAATGGCCTGAGGATTCCATATAGAAACTTAAGTTGGAGTTATGCCAACTCTCAAGGGTTCTGTACCACAATAAAAAGAACTCAGACAATTCAGAGCCCCAGTACTTACCTGATGGGCTGTATTTGAGGTCATTCAGCAGGGTGGTGGCTGGTGCCTCAGAGCCAAGAGAAAGAGGCTCACATATGTTTAGGTCTTCATCTTTATCCATCTTGGTTCTTTCTGTATTTACACTATGCTTACAAAAAAACAACACTCTGATGAACTTGTTCTTTGTTGTTGATGTGTACACAGATTTTGCCACATATCAATGGTAAGGAATCTGGACCTCCATTTCATAGAGGACTCACTCATCCACTGTTTTTACATTGATTTGAAGATACCATCTAAAGATGGAAGAAAACATCCACCTATTTCTTCTCATTTCTATTACCTCAGGCCATTTGAGGAATTACATAGCTAATGAATTAGTGTTAAGTCTTTCTACCCTAATGTGTACATTTGGGTAAAATCATAATTAAGAAAATTATTCCACTATACCTGACAGAAGATGTCTTTTCTCTCATTGCTCCTTGTTCCACTTCATCCAGTAGTTCCACTGTAAAACAACCAAATGGCTTCCAACAGAGTTTCCAATCTGAAAGCAATTAACCACTTCCCTGTCTCCTTATACTCGCAGTCTGATGACTAGGTACCACAAGTAATGATTGGACATGAAATGTTGGCCCACAGAGGCCTTCATTGGCCAGGAATAAATAGAGCAGAGGAGCCTATCCAAAGTCCTGAAGACATCTAATATTATATTCCTACCTAGCTTCTTTGGTCATTCAGCAGGATAAGAAAGCTCTTTACAAGGCACCTTTGTCATCATGCAGATTTGTTCAAGACATATATTTTCTTTCCTATTCGTTCCCACTATAATGCATCTTCCCTCCCACTGTGTAGTGTTTGGGGATTTTCTCTCAGACCTTTCACAAATCTGTTCCTTTCACTCTCACAGGCTGGTGTACTAACAATTCAGTGACATGAATTTTGTACAGTGGCAGTGTCGTAGCCAATGAGATTTATCTGAGGCGTGATTATTGCTAATTGAAACAGTTCAGTGACATGAAAGGAAATTAAAGCTAGACTAGAAATCACAAAAGAAATATGAAATATTCCACAGATTTCAAAAAATTTTATTTTTAACCTAACAGTGCAGGGAATGTAGGATAATATTGTATACCATTGATTCTAAGGTGCACATTTTAAACAGCTCCAAAATCAGATATGATTTACAGTTAAGTACATGACAATTTAATTGGCAGCTACGTTTTCTTTCTTGAGATGCAAAAATAATGAACTTCATAATTAATGACATTTTAAAGTCAGTTAAGTATACTTAGCTACTATTCAGAGAGGATCCACTCAGAGCCCACTATGTTTCAAATGTTTCTTTCCCCTGTGCTATCTGGGTGTTGTTGAGTCTGGGGCAGAGAAAGTGAAAGTCACTAAAAATACTGACTAGTCAATTATTTTTCATTTTATTTTTTAAATTTATTTTTATTTCAAGGTTTTATTTAAATTTCAGTTAGTATTATTCATTTTAATAATTTTTATTCAAAGTGCTTTTCAGGGAGAGGGGGAAAAAGTATCAATCTAGGGCTGACTGAACCACAGGGAAAAGAAGGAGAAGTCTGTTCTTTGAACTTAAAAATTATGAACAAAAGCCACGTCTTGAGAAAGAATTTAGGAAGAGATGAAATCCATGTGTACAGTTCACAAAGCTGGTCAACAGGCTCTGCTTAAGTTAGGGAGATGGTAGTAGTGATGTGATTCCTTTTTTTTTTTTTAAACAATGTTTCTTTTTTTATTATTATTTATTTATTTATGATAGTCACACAGAATGAGAGAGAGAGGCAGAGACACAGGCAGAGGGAGAAGCAGGCTCCATGCACCGGGAGCCCGATGTGGGATTCGATCCTGGGTCTCCAGGATCGCGCCCTGGGCCAAAGGCAGGCGCTAAACCGCTGCGCCACCCAGGGATCCCCCATTTTTTTTTAAAGTAGTGATTCCTTTGCTTCTCTTTACAAACCCATACTTTTTTTTTTTTTTTTTTTTTAGTGATTCCTTTGCTTCTCTTTACAAACCCATTCACAGCCTACCTTTGTTCAGTCCAGAGCTCTGATGCAGTGCAGAGACTAACAGTTAAAATACAGTAAGAATTCAACTATGGGGCACCTGGCTAGCTTAGCTGGTAGAGCATGCAACTCTTGATCTTGGGGTTTCAAGTTCAAGCCCTATGTTATGTATAGAGATCACTTAAAAATAAATTCTTAAAAAAAAAAAAAAAAAAAGAATCCTACTACTGGGCAGCCCGGGTGGCTCAACGGTTTAGCGCCACCTTCAGCCCACAGCGTGATCCTGGAGACCCGGAATCGAGTCCCACGTCGGGCTCCTTGCATGGAGCCTGCTTCTCCCTCTGCCAGTGTCTCTGCCTTTCTCTCTCTGTGTCTCTCATGAGTAAATAAATAAAACCTTAAAAAAAAAAAAAGAATCCTACTACTACTACCACCCTCAGAGCCATTATAAAAAGGTGTTCAAGGGATAGAGAGGTGTTCAAGGGATGTTTATAGTAGCATACTCAATCAGAAAGGAAAGGTAGCTGGCTAGAACTGTGTGTCTTGAAGTAGGTCTGGATGGACAGTCATTATTTTGGTGAATTTTCATTTCTCTCTTAATTCTACTTATCTCATAAAACAAAGTAATCTTTCAAGCAGCAGTAGTCTCTGGTCTACATGAGTCCTTTCCTGTAGGTAAGAAATGAATAGGTCTTTAAGGTCCCAGATCTCTTGTTCTCCTCACTCCTCCATCCCAGACTGATTTTTACTCCTTCTTGGAGCGCTTTCTGCTTTTGAATTCTTGAAAAGAACAGTTCTTGCTTCCCTTTTCTTTTATCCTAATTGGCTTATCTGCAGCAACTGACCAGAAGAGCTTCTGTATTTACTCCTTTTGGCAAACAGTTAGACCTACTCTTGCTAAATGGCTTTTGCTGGCAGAAATAAAGAACAGAGCTATGTCTTGCAATTCCAAAATCCAAAACTCTCTGAAAACTAAAAATTGTCTGTAACTCTTTTGGCAGCAAAACCTAACTGACATACTATTTATGGTCCTAGTTTATTCCATTTAGAATGATTATCTGCACATTTCCCTGTAGAAATGTTTTATTACAGAGTGCTTCCCAAACCTGCTTGAGATGTTACATAATATGAAGAGTATATAGTGTTGTTTTCCAAAAATCCAGGTTTCTGAATTCTGAAACATTTGGACTCCAGGGTTTCATATAAGGGGCTGTGAATATACTTTGACTCTGTAGTGTTAAATTCAATTGCTGAGCAAGACAATTCCTTTCTGTTCAGATTCTTAACTGCCCACTGGTTGAGTGTCTAGTAACGGGCACCAGCAGTTCTCACATTGTAAACCCTAGATGATTAAAACTCTTTATGACATTCTGCTCATATTACACACCAAAAAAAAATTAAGATAAAGGTCAATTCTCCAATACCCACTGTAAGAGTTCATCAATGCAATATTAAAGGCAATACAGCATCTCAGTTTTTCAAAAACTGGAATGAAGCAGAGCAGTGGGTTTACTACTACTACTACAAATCCCAATATCCACAGTCAGGAAACATGCAGCTCTCACCGTTCACAATCTCGTACCCAAAAAACATCTTTACTCCTGGAACGCTCCGACCAGTCTCTACATTCTTCACTGTTATAGAAAATGATTCATTTAGTTAGTAAAAATCATAAGAAAATAATGCCTCTCAAAAATGCCATATCTAGGGGCACCAGGGTGGCACAGTTGGTTTAGTGTCTGACTCTTGATTTTGGCTCAGGTCAGGTTATCGGGGTCCTGGGACTGAGCCCTGCATTTGTCTCTGCACTCAGTGCACAGTCTGAGGATTCTCTCCCTTCCCCTCTTCCTTTGTCCCTCCATCCATTCACTCATTCTCTCTAAAATAAATAAATACATCTTTTTAAAAAAGTGTCATACCTGAGTTTTACAAAAATTTCCAAATTATTTTCCCCAAGAACTGAAGAGTTAATAATAGGTTACAAAGCTATAGCCTTTAAACAAGTAGGACAGAGAACAGAGGGAACCTTAGAATGGTCCAAGAACGTAAAGGGCGGCAGCAGGATGATGAATTTAAATTCTTCCGAGAACATCTTAGGGACACTTTGGTGGCTCAGTTGGTTAAGCGTCTGACTTCAGCTCAGGTCATGATCTCAGGACCCGACCGAGTTGGGTCCCTGCTCAGCAGAGAGCCTACTTCTCGCTCTGCCCCTCTCCACTGCCATGTTCTCACTCGCATGCTCTCTCTTAAAAGAATAAATAAAAAATATTTTTTAAGAAAAAGAATATTCTAAGGCCTTGATGCTAAGAACTATTTATTATATTTTTAAAAGATTTTTAATTTATTTATTAGAGTGAGAGACAGACAGACAGACACAGGCAAAAGGAGAAGCAGGCTCCATGCTGGGAGCCTGACAAGGGACTCGATCCCGGATCACACCCTGGGCTGAAGGCGGTGCTAAACCGCTAAGCCACCGGAGCTGCCCTATTTATTATATTTCTATTGATTTTTACCACACCTAATTTCAGATAAAATTTTAAGGCAGCTGACTACTTCTAGAGTCCATACCCTGTTTCATGCCATGCTACTTGCTAGAAAATATGGTCAAGGACAATAATCTAACTCCTGGCCCAAATACAGGGCTACTACTGTGAGCAAGTAAGAGTTACAAGAAGTTTAAATATCATAACTACAGTATGGTATCATTTCTCTAGATACCACCCCCGCCCATCTCCCCTTCCACCACCCCTAGTTCGTTTCCCAGTTAGGAGTCTCTCATGTTCTGTCTCTCTTTCTGATATTTCCCACTTATTTTTTCTTTCCCCTTTATTCCCTTTCACTATTTTTAATATTCCCCAAATGAATGAGACCATATGTTTGTCCTTCTCTGATTGACTTATTTCACTCAGCATATTACCAGTTACTTATCCCATCTCTTATGTATTTTTAAAATTTGAAAAAATAGGGATCCCTGGGTGGCGCAGCGGTTTGGCGCCTGCCTTTGGCCCAGGGCACGATCCTGGAGACTCGGGATCGAATCCCACGTCGGGCTCCCGGTGCATGGAGCCTGCTTCTCCCTCTGCCTGTGTCTCTGCTTCCCTCTCTGCATCTCTCATGAATAAATAAATTTAAAAAAAATAAAAATAGGGATCCCTGGGTGGTGCAGCGGTTTAGCGCCTGCCTTTGGCCCAGGGCACGATCCCGGAGACCCGGGATCGAATCCCACGTCGGGCTCCCAGTGCATGGAGCCTGCTTCTCCCTCTGCCTATGTCTCTGCCTCTCTCTCTCTCTGTGTGTGTGACTATCATAAATAAATAAAAATTTAAAAAAAAATAAAATAAAAATAAAATAAAATTTGAAAAAATAATAAATAAAATCTGTCTTCTCTTTTCCATTCCTTGCTGAGCCTTAGCTCTGACCCCCATCATGTTTCCTTTTTTTAAGATTTTATTTATTCATAGAGAGAGAGAGAGAGAGAGAGGCAGAGAGAGAAGCAGGCTCCATGCAGGGAGCCCAACGCGGGACTCAATCCCGGTTCTCCAGGATCATGCCCTGGGCTGCAGGCGGCACTAAACCACTGCGCCACCGGGGCTGCCCTCATATTTCCTTTATTGGATCTGTTGATTGTCAAGATCTGTCTATGCTCTTTCCCTCTAGTTTCTCTCTACTAGAGTCCTTCCTTCACATAGCTGTCATAGTGAAAATACTCCCTGCTTTGTTCAAATAGTACATAAAATTAGTAAACAAGTGTAAAGAAATATGTTCAAATTCCTTAGGAATATTTTTTTAACATTTTTTAACATGCCAAGATGAAACACCACTTTCTACCTATAAAACTAGCAAAAACTTAGGAAATATGCACATCACCATTTTTTAAAAAAATCCAATCTTAGATTATTTACGGTATTTCACTCATACTAGTAGTAAAGTAAAAAGACACAATCCTTTTGAAAAACTATTTGGAAATATGCGTCAAAAATATTTAAAGTAGGGGCACCTGGGTGGCTCAGTCGGTTGGGAGTCTTCCTCTGGCTTGGGTCGTAATCCCAGGGTCCTGGGATCATGTCCTGTGTCAGGCTCCCCTCTCAGGAGGGAGTCTGCTTGTCCCTCTCCTCTGCCCTTCTGCCTGCTTGCTATCTCTTTCTTACTCTCTTTCAAAAAAATTAAATAAAATCTTGAAAAAATATATTTAAAGTATCTGTAATTTTTACCTAATAATTTCACTTATAGGAACTACTATGAAAATAATTACAAATTATAAGTATTATATTGTATTTTATATTTTGTAAAAATGTATAATTACATAATAGACAAAAATTTTATTTTATAATTATAAAATATAATAAATATTTTTATTTTAAGATTTTATTCATTCATTTGAGAGAGAGAAAGAGCATGAGCATAGGAAGGGGCAGAGGGAGAGGGAGAAGCAGACTCCTCACTGAGCAGGGAGCCCAATGTAGGACTCCATCCCAGGACTCTGGGATCATGACCTGAGCTGAAGGCAGACATTTAACTGCCTGTGCCCCAAGAGACCCCTATAATAAATATTTTTATTTATTTACTTATTATTATTTTTAATATTTTTAAGTCTTTAAAGCTTTTTGCTTTAAAATGTTTAGCTAATAGGGGTCCCTGGGTGGCTCAGTCAGTTAAATGTCCTTCTCTTGACGTCAGCTCAGGTCATGATTTTGGGGTCCTGAGATAGAGCCCCACCTCAGCTGTGCACTGAGTATGGAACCTGCTTAAGATACTCTCTCTCCCTCTTCCCTCCTGCTCGCATGCACACTCTCTCTAAAAAAAGAAAAAAAACTTAAATAAAAGTTTAGCCATTAGGGACACCTGCATGGCTCAGTGGTTGAAGTATCTGCCTTCGGCTCAGGGCATGATCCTGGAGTCCCGGGATCTAGTTCCACATCGGGCTCCCTGCATGGAGCCTGCTTCTCCCTCTGCCTGTCTTTGCCTCCCTCTGTGTGTCTCTCATGAATGGATAAATATTTTAAAAAAATATTTCATTTAGACTGAATGCTTTGTTGAACAAGCATGTAGCATATCTTAATTATTGTCAACTCAATGCCATTCTTTCAGGCTGGCAACGAGCGTACTCTCTCCACAGACAGTGGTGGCTTCCTGGACCTCCAGGGCATCTCTTGAAGAAGACGGTCTCATCTGGGAGAACACCTCCCTACCCCTTTTCCTCCCATATGTAATTTCTACCAGCCATCACATGATCTTCAGGTTTGAAGCCATGTAGACGGTAGAGCAGAAAGATGAAGAATCTTGGATCTCTGCCAACTCTGGGAAGACCCACAGAAGCCCTGGGAGGGCTGCCTTCCTTTATATAAGCGAATAAACTCCTGCTTTGTTTAAACTGTTTGACATAGGTTTCCAGCAGCTGAACATGGTTCCTAACAAACATAGCATTAAAAATTTCAGGCAACAAGCTCAAAAACTTAGATGCCTCCCACTTAAAAATCCTTCAAATTGTGGGGCGTCTTGCTGGCTCGGTCAGTAGAGCAAGCAACTCGATCACACAGTCATGAGTTCAGGCTAGAGCCTATTAAAAAATAAAAATTTTTCAAACTGTTCCTCATGGCTTTCAGAAGCATCCAAATACTATATGTTAAGGCCTTCCGATCAGTCCCATACCTCCTTCTCCAGCCTTAAGTCTCACTATATCCCCATACAGAAATTTACTTACATTTTCTGAATGAACCAAGTTTTCATATCTCTACATATTTTGTACATGCTGCTACGTCTGTGAAAAACTATGGTTCTCAAGGTGTGGTTCTCCAGCTGAGCATCAGCAGCACCAGGAAACTTGTTAGAAATGTAAATTCTTGGGCCCCACCCCAGACCTTAAGAATCAGAAACTCGGGCAGCCCCAGTGGCTCAGCGGTTTAGCTCGGCCTGCAGCCCAGGGCGTGATCCTGGAGACCCTGAATCGAGTCCCATCCCACGTCAGGCTCTCTGCATGGAGCCTGCTTCTCCCTCTGCCTGTGTCTCTGCCTCTCTCTGTGTCTCTATGAATAAATAAAATCTTAAAAAAAAAAAATCAGAAACTCCTGGAGGGTGGCCCAGTATTCTGTGATTTTAACAAGTCCCCCAGGTGATTCTCATATACAGATAAAGTTTAAGAACCACTGGCTTAAAATACCTTCCCTCTTTTTCCTCACCCAGTTGAATCTTACTCCTGTTTGGGATACATTCCCCACTAGCCTAACCGTACCACTCCCAGAACTAAATTAACTGAACCGTTGTGTTTCCATAGCATCTTGTGCATCTCTATATTAGAAAGGATATTACACTGCATTATACATCTCTACTTCCTCATCTGTTTCCTTACTAGACTAAGTTTTTTAAGGACAAGGACTATGTTACTCTTATCTATATCCCTGGTATCTATCACAGTGCCTGTGATACAAAACTACCAATAAATGATTACTGAATGAATTAATATTGTAAAAATTTGGTATAGTCCCACACAGGTTCACAAAGGTCTATTTTAACTTATAACAGTAACACCAATCTCTCAAATGCCATTTATACATGTTTCAATTGTGAACTTAAAACTTAATGCCAGGTAAACAACTACCCTAGCCGAGTCAATATTCTAGCTGAATAAAAATTGTATATTGGAGCTTAAAAGTGAGTACATGTAGGAAGTAGGAGAGTGTTACACCCAGGGGCGCATGGAAACTCTGAGCCCCCACGGACTTTGCCCTATGCATCTCTTCCACTTGGCTGTTCCTGTGTAGCATCCCTTACCATGAACAGAACTGAAGCTGGTAGGTGTAACTATGAGGATAATACATGATTAGAGGTGGTAAAACCTACAAGACACCAGGTTCCTCCTGGCATCTATGAGCCACTGCACTATTCCTCAGCAGCCAATCTCTGGACTTCCTTTTGCATGACAAAAATTAATCCCTTACTGTCTGTGAATTTGTTGAAGCCAAAATTCTCTCTAGTAGAGTGGTTATTTTTAACTTCAAGATGCATATGGTAAGAAAAGAAGTATCCAATGAAAAAGAATCCATACATTGAAAATTTCCACTGTCATGATAATAAAAGTATGTGAGGACAAGCCCACAGATGCAACCATTTTTTCTGTTAGGGAAAATAAACATTCTATTCTTCCTCCTACCTTTTCCCTGAAATAGGAATGCTTCCCTACCACTTGCTAATGAAGCCCCAGAGCCATCATCCAAATTTAACTATTAATTTCTTAAAAGGGAGAAGATAATAACAAGTAAAGAGACCTTTCTTCAGGACAACAATCTTGTTAGGGTCCACATGCTGGAGTACTCCCTCAAAGATGCCGCAAACCAACGTGAGTTTCACCCTTCTCCACAAAATCTGATTGAGGAAATGGTAGTCACTGCTGGGATCCATGCTATTTGATTCCAAAAGCAGTCTTCAAATAATCTTCTTTAAGTAACCAAACACTTGAAAATAAAAAGAGGTCTATGATTTAAACAATATTTTTGGGAAATGAGGCTATTTTCCCTTTCCCCATGCCTGGAAGGGACAAGAAAAATATGCGAATAATTCAGTTTTGCTCATCTTTTTAGAACGATAAAGAGAAAAGGACCATTGCAAGCACCAATTCTGACTTATACATGGGAAACTGAAAGCCCGTAAGACTTCAGGCACCCTATGTTTGGGTTGTATTTAAAATGGGGTAATACTACCTTTCATTTAGAACAAGCAGAACATTTCAGAGGTTCTCAAATGGTCACACGTATATCTTAACACGAACCCAAATAAATAAAGGAAGGAAGGAAGGAAGGAAAGAAACTCTAAAATAATTTAAAAACTATCGTTGGCAAAATATCTGCCAGTACATGCGGTCACAAGCTGCTCACCCAGAAATATCTGGGATCTAAGTTCTTCTGGCCTCTTCTACGTTAACAACATTTCCAGAGTTTGACACTGTTACCAACCAAAGCACAGGTGACTTAGAATTATCCCAACGTATGCATGAGCAATCTGGCTGCCAATTGAGCGCATTTGAAGGGAGAGGACACTAGATAGACAAGAAGAGCAGGTCAGTCATGAAAACAACTCAGTGAGACTAGAACCTTGGCCTTAGGCTAAGTCGTCAAAACCTTAGGTAAAGCTTAAGAGTAGTTTAGGGACTAAATCACAGTGGTCAGAATTTGGTTCTTCCGTATCTCAAATCTGTCATGCACAAAGCAACCCACGAAGGGTGGGGGAGGGGGTGAAAAGGCACTAGAAGCCACAGGAAAACAACTTCACCGGAGAGGGTTAAATTAGTTAACGAATGGCTTAAACATTTTCAAGAAAACAAAAATATAAAAATAAAATGCAAAATTCCTCATTCTTAGGGCAAAATAAGAAACTTCAAATACACGGCGGGCCATACGCTAGGAACTGAATCTCGTCCACCGTTATTTTTTTTTCCCCCGAAGGAAGTTGGGAAATCTTGTCTCAATTTCAGCCCAATGGGGACTTCCTCGAGCTTCAGTCTTGAACTAAAAAAAAGAGGTACTGCTGTTAAGGAAGAACTCTCGGGAGTTCGAAGCCGGCGTTGACGGTTATCAAATGACACAGCTGGAAAAAACGAAGAAGTACACCCCACCGAAAGCCCACGAGCAGACGCGGACGCCAGCAGGGCGGAACCCGAGGTCCCGGCTGTTTCCTGACGAGCCAATCGGCGCGCGGCCAGGACGCCGACTCCCGAGCGCCCCCAGCGGCCAGGAGGCGGGAGGACCTCCAGAAAAAAGGAGGAGGTGGAACTCCCAGCATGCAGTTCCCAAGAGACACACCCTAGAGTCGCCCCAAGAGGCGTTTGGTCTATTTTTATAGTTTCTCTCTGCAATCCCTGCCACCTGTGGGTGGCGCTTCCATGTTTAGAGTTCTGTGAGAAACGGGTTGGCTACTTTGTCTGCAAGCCGGTTAGTTCATTGTAAAACTGTGGGTCGATGGCGTTGCCCTTTTAATTGTGGTCGCTAGAGCCAGAGTGGCATTGCCTTTTTAAGGCCGGTGACATCACGCTTCCGGGGGCGTGGCCCGTCCTTAGGAATACCCGGCCCTGCGCTGGGCTGATTCATTCGGGGGCTGGTGCTGGAAGCGTCGACGTCGGCTCCTGGGCCGGGCGCAGCCTCACTCCTTATTGGCTGGTTCTCGGGGACCGCCCCCTCCCCCTCTTGCCACCCCTGGGTTCCCTCCCGGGTCCGCAGTAGAAATACTGCCCTCTCGCTTCTTGACCCCTGGGCCTTTCTCCCTCCCTCTGCCCTCCCTCCCGCTGCCGTCGTTGCTTCAGGAGCCCCTGCTCCCTCAAGGAGCTCCCGCTTCGGTGATGGGTTCTCGGGCTTCCACGTTACTGCGGGACGAAGAGCTCGAGGAGATCAAGAAGGAGACTGGCTGTGAGTTCGGGTAGGGGGTGGGAAAGCGGCCGGGCGCTTCTGGCTGGCCTCAGAACCGAGGGTGGCTGTCGTTGAGGTCCGGAGCTGAGGTGCCTGGAGGTTACCGGGTACTGATCAGCCTCCAGCCCAGGAGCTTCGTGGCCGAAGGCTGGAGGACCTCTTCTTACGGCTATTCGGAGCGGGGGGCTGTCCTTCCCCTCAAAGGCAGGGGTCGCGATCACCCTTAGAGCACAGGCACCGCTCTTTTCTCTTCCCTCTGTTCATGAAAGTCCCCTAACTCCTTTCTTTTATCTTTCCTCGCACCAACCTCGAATTCAAGAGCTCTGGATGGATCCTATAGAAAACATAATATGTTCCTGTGACGTTTTTGGGCAAGCACTTAAAATCACTGTCAACTGTGGGAAATCACAAATAAATTCTTAATGCAACTGGAAAAATAAGTCTAGAAAGCAAGATCGTATAGTAAGGCTTTGGAAGACGTGACCTGGTGACAGGAGACTTTAAAGAATGAGGAGTCTGAGACTGTGAGATTTCTTTCATTCTGAACCTGTGGAGGAAAAAAAAAAAGCAGATACTGTGACTACCAGATTTTTGTTTGTTTCTTTTACTTACACTGAGGATGCTTGCTGTCCTAATTTCAGATATATTGATTTCTACTATGCTGGTGTACTTTATGCAGTCGCTATGGAAATTGGATGTGTTCCAAAATCTCAGTGCGAATTTGTACTAGGAACTGATTTTTTTATAGTCCAGTCTCTTCCTCATTAACCTGAACATAGGGGCAGCAGGGCTTTGGGAATTCAGAAGCTCTGTGTAACATCACCACACAATTTTGTATAATGCATACAGTATTTTCTCAGTAATCCATCATGACTCTTGTATTTTACTTGGGTTATGTAAGTGTCTGAGCTGTCGCTTCACGGTAACTTGTCTTTAATAATGAGATGACCGGTAAGTAACTCAGTGGCCCATATGCAGGTAATGTTGAAGGGTCCTGGGGGAACTACAGAATTACACAGGCAGTGGTGACCTGAGAGAAATTGAATGCTGTCCTGTGCTTTCTGACAAATTTAACTTTCCAGAATCTTCAATTTGGAAGGGATGTTATCTAGCCCCCAACCTTGTCGGATTGGCTTACTGCTTTCAGCACCCCCCCACCCCCCACACACACACACACGGCAGGCAGGTAGCCTCTTCATAAATATCTTTAAGGATTATGAGCACACCACCTACTGGTTTCAGATGAATGGCAAAAAGCAGTGAGCTGCTTATGATGTGTAATAGTTGTTTGGCCTCTTCACCTTATGGTCATTTGATGATTCACTGACTCCAAGAGGTAGAAGTATAGTCCATTTGGATTCAGCAAGCATTTTATTAAATTTTGTGGCCATGACCTCTGGCCACACTTGTAAATATAAGAATTGCTTTAGGTCTAAAGTGACACCAGAGTTGAAGTATTCATACTTAAAATAAAAAGTCACAAAATGAGGAAGTGTAAGCCTTAGTGAAGATGGGAAAAACCTATTTTTGCGTCAAGATGAAGGGAGCACTAATCCCATTTGGGCTTATTTACATTTGACAAAATAGACCCTAGACTCTATAGGACTGGAGTTATTTTACTATGTGGCTCTTACTCCAGGGAGAACTGTTTTCCTAGTTGCCAAAAAGTGAATCAAAGGAGAATCTGAGGGAGATTATCAGCCGCAACCAGTGCCAATGTACGTTGAGCCAGAAAGCCTAATAAAAAAAGTAGTTACTGAATTTTTGCATTGTCTATATTTAGTACTATGCTAGGTGCTCAAAGCAGATGGTGACAAGAGATGCCCACAAGAGTTAGGATTAGCATTACGATGTAAGGTAGCTGAAATTGTGTGCCACCCACCTTCAGAGCTCAAGAAAGACTGAGTCTGTGGGCTGGTCTTGGAGAAGACAGAAATTGGACCCTGATACGTGCATGAATGAATTCGATTTAAATAAATTAATCTAGGACATTTTGGGTGGCTTCCAGGAGCATTCTTCTCTAGCCTGCTACACAGTCATTCCTCTGCCCTGGGAGTTGAGCCATCAGTTTATCCAGTTGGTGTCCATGAGCAGAGTTGATTTTTAAAACAGTAATTTTAACATGATCCAAAAGGCTTAGAAAACTAAAAACAAGATACCTGAGGGTGAGGTGGAGGAGTAGAATTTGTCCAGTTTTCATATGCTTCTTGTTTCGTTAAGAGTTTAGGGGACTATCAGAAACATTTTCAGTTAAAAACAAGTAATAAGACATTTCACTACTCCCTTTGCCAGTAAGAGAATGTGGCATAATTGAGCAAAACCGACTTTATATTCAATATGAAAGCTTTGCATTGGAATTGATGATTATATTTAAACATCTTTTCCAGGCAGTCTTAAGTTGATTAGAATTCATGCATGACTGGTTTAGCCGGTATTTGAAATGTAATCTCTTAAGTGTTTGGCAAACTCATTCTAGGTAAGAATTACCTGTAAGCCTCAGTTTCATCATCTATAAATGGGAATAATAATAGTACCTATTTTCCAGGATTCTTATGAGGATTAAATGAGAGAAATTATGTGAACTACTTAGAATAGTGCTTGATATTTAAGTACTAGGTAAGTGTCAGCTATTATTTTGAACCATAGATGATAATCATCTTATTGGGAAAATATTTGTATGTGCTAGTTATAAAACTGTCTAGGGCTATATAAGTGGAGAGGTTACAGCATTTATGCTTTTCCTATTTTCAGGGACCATTGGACTAGAAATAAGTCATTTCCCCAGCTCTAGAAATAAAACATTTAAAGGAATGGAAATCTTGATGTTGCTAACAGTTTAAAAAACATTATCTAGGGGGATCCCTGGGTGGCTCAGCGGTTTTGCGCCAGCCTTTGGCCGAGGGCACAATTCTGGAGTCCCAGGATCGAGTCCTGTGTCGGGCTCCTGGCATGGAGCCTGCTTCTCCCTCTCCCTCTGCCGGTGTCTCTGCCTCTCTCTCTCTCTCTCTCTCTCTCTCTCTCTCTGTCTCTGTCTATCATGAATAAATAAAAATAAATTTTAAAAAGATCTAAAAAAAAAATCTGAAACTTTATTTTTTAAAGATTTTATTTATTCATCAGAGACAGAGAGAGAGAGAGAGAGAGAGAGAGAGAGAGAGAGAGAGGCAGAGACACAGGCAGAGGGAGAAGGGACTGAAGGTGGTGCTAAACCCCTGAGCCACTCAGGCTGCCTTAAAACATTTTTAATTAAAAAAAATTTTTTTGAGAGATTGCCATTGTGTAGGGGGAGGGGCAGAGAGAGAGAGAGAAAATCTTTAGTAGTCTCCACACCCAGTTTGGAGCCCTTTGCAAGGCATAATCTCCCAACCCTCAGGGATCCTCAGCTCAGGTCCCCATTCATTTAATTTTAGTCTCTAGTTCTGGTATGTGTCATGTGGTATGGGGACAAAGTTGAACAGGTTTTGGAAGTAAGTTTTAGGGCATGATCCCAGAGATCCGGGATCCAATCGAGTCCCACGTCAGGTGGACTGCATGGAGCCTGCTTCTCCCTCTGCGTATGTTTCTGCCTCTCTCTCTCTCTCGTGTCTCTCATGAATAAATAAATAAATAAATAATAAAATATTTTTTAAAGGTATAGATTTCTTCATGTATCCTGAGAATAGGAATTTTTTCTCTACGTAACCTCAGTACTGTATCACACCTAAGAAAATTGGCAATAATTTAAAAATATTATCTACCATTTAGTCCATATTCAGATTTCCCCAATTATAAAAAAGTGATTTGTTGTTACATTGTTTTAATGTCTTTTAAAAATATTTTATTTATTCATGAGAGACACAGAGAGAGGAGGCAGAGACACAGGCAGAGGGAGAAGAGAAGCTGGCTCCACACAAGGAGCCCGATGCGGGACCTAATCCTGGACCCCAGGATCACACCCTGAGCCAAAGGTAGATGCTCAACTGCTGAGCCACCCAGGCTTCCCTTTCTTACTCCCTTTTCATTTTATTTTTCTCTCTGTCACTCCTGCCTAGTGCTTGCTACTTCTCTAAAATGCCTTCCTCTTCTGAGCATGAGGTAGTGATAATAGATTTGTAGTCAAATTGGGAGGATCTTTCAAGTAATCTTTCAACAGTATAAAATAATTATGTGCCCATTAGGGGAGAAAAATATAGCTTGATTCAAGACATGACCATGTGCAAAGTCAAGAGACTTCCTTTGAATTACTGAGAATTGGTGCAGGTTTAGGGCGCCTTCCTGTTAGCGTCGTGCCGTCTGGTGAGAATAGTTTACTGGAATCTTGTCCTGCCTTCTTTTATGGCAGGTCCGATGCTTTTCTGCTCCTTGAAGTTGCTCTCAGCTCTATACCTTGGAGATTGCTTTTTATTCTCTGTCATGGTGAATTTAGCATGTAAATTAAAGCTTGCTTTCCTCCTCCTCCTCCTCCTCCTCCTCCTTCTCTTTTCTTCTTATTAAACATTAGTTCTGAAGTTTAGGACATAGATTGACATTTGACCATATTGTTTTAAAAGCGGACATTTGATTGTACATTTCTTTTTTAAAGATTTTTATTTACTTATTTGAGAGAGAGAGGACACAAGCAAAGGGGAGGAGCAAAGGGAGAAGCAGACTCCCTGCTGAGCAGGGACTCCCACCAGAGGCTCAGTCCCAGGACTCTGAGATCATGACCTGAGCCAAAGGCAGAGGCTTAACCTACTGAGACATCCAGGCACCCCTGCCCTGGTTGTACATTTCTCCACCGATTTCCATGTAACCCCCTTCCTTCTAGAAGATCACAGGTTTTATCATTCACAAAAATTTGTGAAGTATTCCACATATTTTTTAAACTATTTATTTGATTGTTTGTTTGTTTGTTTATTTATTTCAGAAAGAGAGTGCACATGTGAGGAAAGAGGGGCAAAGGGAGAGAATCTTCAAGCAGGATACCTCTCCACCCCCCAGCATGGAGTGCTTTGCAGGGTTCTGTCCCACAGCCCATGAGATCATGACCTGAGCTAAAAGCAAGAGTCGGATACTTAACTGACAAAGCTACGTAGGTGCCCCAAGCATTCCATATTTTTAAGGAAACCAGCCATAAGCTAACCTTTTTTTCTGAAATCTGGAATGTAATACCATACCAGCACTTAGTAAGGAAATTTTCAGAATCATACTTAAATAGGTTTCAATGTCTAGTTCTTTGAGATAATTTAGATTAGAAAGATATCTTGGTTCATTTGTTAGTTAAAGGGGTTGGACTAAATGACGACATTCCAGCCAGTTTTAAAATTGTTATTGATAGCTATACATATTATATATACACATACTGAATTTCTAGAAGAAATTACAAAAAACTGGTAATAGTGTTTGCTTCTGGCAAGGGAAACTGGGGGATTTGGTTGTTAAAGAGACTTCATTTTGTACACTCTTGTACTATTTGCATATTTACTATGTGTATGGATTATCTTCTCAAATTAAAAAAAAGGTACCAGCGTGACTTAATCCATAGAGCTTGTGACTCTTACAGGGCTGTGAGTTTGAGCTCCATGTTGGGTATAGAGATTACTTAAAAATAAAATCTTAAAAAAAAACCCAAATTAGTATAAAAAGAAATACAATTGAATGTTTTCCTTATTAGAAGGAATCTGAAAAATACAGTAGTCTAAGTACTAAAAACTGATCCAGGGGTGGTTGGGTAGCTCAGTTAGTTGCACATCTACCTTTGACTCTGGTCGTGGTCCCAGCATCCTGGGATTGAGCTCTGCATGGGTTCCCTCACCCCCTCAGCAGGGAGCCTGCTTCTCCCACTCTCTCTGCCTGCCTCTCCCCCATGTTCTCTTGATGTCAAATAAATAAATAAATAAATAAATAAATAAATAAATAAATTCTTAAAAAAAATGAAAACTGATCCAGTGGACTAAATATTCTGCCATTATTAAGAAGTACTCCAAAGGAATATAGAAAAATAATGAGTGAATAAATGAAAAACTATTCCAAGTATGGAAAGTATACAAGTGACTGATATTAGATGGTACTTAAAGAAATGAAAACAGTGGTATTGAGATTGTGAACAAATTTTGTTTTTCAAAAAATCTTTTGGGAAAGTTAGTCATTCTTTAACTGACTTATTTTTGTTAAACTAAAGGGAACTTCAGTTCTAGAGCAGTCTTTGAGGCCAGAGGCCACAGCCAGGGTAAACAGGTCAGGTTCCTGAAGAAAATGTCTGTAGCTGCCAGTCAGGAGAAAGGTGGAGATTAGTTAGTGCAGCAGTAAAACTGTACCTCCAGGCTCAGAGTGTAAGGATGATGATGATAATGGCTAATCTGGAGTTCTTACATTGTACTAGACACTTTGCCAAGCCCTTTCCTCTCCTGGACTGATGTAGTTCTCTCCACAGCCCCTTTTGCTCACCCCTAAGTAGGCGGTGGTGCCATGAATGGGATCAGTCTGTTACCTGACCCTTACCAGAGAGCTTGGCCGGGCAGTAGGTCCACTCAGTGCCTGGCACCTGCTGGCTCCTTGCTGGCTGGGATTGATTCTTCTCTGCTGTGTTTGGAGAGCTAGTACCCAACAGCCCAGCTTGGAATGAAATCTGATGCTGAAGAATTCACTGCTGCGCCTAGTGTGTCCTCTCATCCTAGCTCTAGGCCATTCACTTCCTGCTTCTCCCGCTGTGCCCCGGTTTACTTTGTCCCATTGTTCCTAAAACTGCAAGTAGGTTTTGTTGAACTGGGGGAGGAGGGCTACTATCAGAATGCTTTTAGCCATCCCCTTAAACCCCTAAAGGCACAGTGGAGGACAAAGTCCACACTTACCACACCCTTTTTGGCTTTTGTCTTTTCTTTTTTGATAATTCTCCTTTTTCTTCCCTCCTAGTTCCCATCAGCCAAGAAGCTAAACTGTTCCGCAGAAATTCTTTTTTTTGTATTTTCAAATTCTTACTGTGTATCTGCGCTTCTTGCCTCATTTTAATGGCCAGCTTGTGCTTGAGTTAAAAAATGAGGAAAAAAAGCTTCCTTGTAGATACCATCTGATGATAACCTGATCTTTTTACAGATTGCCTAATTTGCTTTCTGGGAGCCCATTCCTTTACTGGGAGCTTAGTGGAGCTCATGTAATTACAGAAAAGAGGCTGACATGACCCTGTGATCTTTTACCTAAATGTCAGTTCCTAAGGAAGGAGAAAGCCACTGATGGTTGGTACAGGAGCAAACCAGATTTTAAAAATAGAATCTGCCTGAAGGGCATCTGGCTGGCTCAGTTGGTAGGGCTTGCAACTCAAGATCTCAGGGTTGTGAATTCAAGCTCTACCATGCGTGTAGAGATTCTTTAAAAATAAAATCTTTGAAAAAATAAAATAAAATAAAAATAGAATCTGCCCCAGTCTTTAAGTGTCGTCAACCAGCCTGATATTGCCAGCCTGAAACAGCAAACTAATTGGTATGTTTTTAATCAAAGCATCCATTTTCAGAGCTTCCAAGTCAAGTGAAAAGGTCAAAAAAATAAAAGGTGAAAGTTTCACAGTTTCCTTTTAAACTAAATTCGGCTTTGTTAATCTTAGCCACTTGACATTTTAAGTGGCTAAATCCTAATGAAAAACCTAGAATTTTGAGTGCTTTCAATTTATTTTCTAACTTCTTTCTTTAGCTTTTTAATTTCTTTTTTTTTTTTAAGATTTTATTTATTTATTCATGAGAATACACAGAGAGGAGAGAGAGGCAGAGACACAGGCAGAGGGAGAAGCAGGCTCCATGCAGGGAGCCTGATGTGGGACTCAATCCCGGGTCTCCAGGATCACGCCCTGAGCCATAGGCGGCGCTAAACCGCTGAGCCACCAGGACTGCCCCAGCTTTTTAATTTCTGTTTTGAAACTCTAGAAAGGAGTTAGACTTGAGATATCTCCCCATTTTATTCTCTCTGAAATGTATGGTGGTGTGCTGGGACCAGAAAGGTAGTTGACTTCTGAAGGGCCATGCTTGAGTTCAGTTTGAGTGGAGGGTGACTTCTCCCAATGGGACTAATTTTGTGTTCTTTAGTTTCCCACAGTCAGATCACCCGCCTCTACAGCCGGTTCACCAGCCTGGACAAAGGAGAGAACGGGACTCTCAGGTAGGCAGTTCCCATCTTTTTTCTGGGCCAATGTCTGACCAGGTGCCTTTATCCCCAGGGTAGAGGTGATAGGCATCTAGAGCACAGAGAGCAGGAACCATTTCTCTTCCCTGTCTTTGAGCATCATGGATTCAGAAGGAAATTCAGTTAAGCAGAAGAATGACATTACATTTATCACTAAGTGTCTTCTGCCTTACTCTTAACTCTCCTTGGTGGGACGCCCGGGTGGCTCAGCGGTTGAGCATCCGCTTTCGGCCCAGGTCGTAATCCTGGAGTCCCGGGATCGAATCCCATATCGGGCTCCCTGCATGGAGCCTGCTTCTCCCTCTGCCTGTGTCTCTATGTCTCTGCCTCTCTTTCTGTGTCTCTCATGAATAAATAAATAAAATCTTAAAAAAACAAAACAAAATAAAAACTCTCCTTGGTTTGAGAGTGGTCATTGTTCTGGTCCTGGGAACATCCTTTTGAGAATTTCAGCTCTCTCTGCTTGAGTTTTCCCATGACCTTTCATCAAACATGTTAGCTTTCAGAAGATTGGCTCATACATAGCAATCCAAGGTGGTCTAGATTGTTTCACCCTCTCCTCTCATTTCCAAATCCAGCCCCATAATCCTAAGGTACACCACTCTGTATATATTAATGTTAGATAAGATATTGAGTGTTTTTGTCTAGAGCAGTGGTTCTCAACTGAGAGCTCTTTTGCCCCTAGGCAACAAAATATCTGGAGATGTTTTTGATTGTCATGACTGAGGTGTGATGTTGATGTCTGGTATGTAGAAGCCAGGAATGCAGCTAAAAGTCTTAGACAGGACAGCCCCCTATCCCCTGCCCACAACAAAGAATTATTCTTCTCTAAATATCAAATATGTCAAAGTTAAGACACTCTGGTCTAGAGTTAATTACATGATTTCAGAGTAATGTGATATTGTTCCACTTCATATTTGACTTATTATAGTCCAATGAAATTTCTCCTTACCATTACCTCCCACCCAACTCTCAGTAGCAAGCTCAGCTTTGACTAATATAGAATGAAGCTATTAGCTTTTCTAATGGCTGGCAGGAAGCAAGAGGTAGTTTAGGAATTCTTTGGAAGACTTCTAGCACAGTTGTGGGATGTGGTATAAAGAGGGAAGGAATATAGTTGCTAAGCCTTTGTACATACTCCTCAGGCAGAAATGCTAGAGAATGCTGGTAAATCCATAGGGCCAAAAAAAAAAAAAAATCCATAGGACCGTGTTTGTGCAGGCCAAAATTTGCTCTCACTGGAAGCTGGGATGGACTCAAAGTATACTGTATAATCATTAATGTCAACAACTATGAATGCCTACCATGTGCAAAGACCACACTGGGCGCTTTTTCTTCTTTTTTTATATTGAGGCAAATACACATAATATAAAATTTACCATTTTAAAGTATGCGATTCATTGGCATTAAGTGCATTCATATTGTTGTATAACCATTACTACTGTCTAGTTCCAGAACCTTTTCATCACTCCAGATGAAACCTTGTACCCAATAAGCAGTCATTTGTAATTCAGGGGCAACCACTAGTCTACTTTTCTTCTCTCTCTGCACATTTCATGTAAAATGGAATCATACAGGGCAGCCCTGGTGGCTCAGTGGTTTAGCACTGCCTTCAGCCCAGGGCGTGATCCTGGAGGCCCGGGATCGAGTCCCATGTCGGGCTCCCTGCGTGGAGCCTGTTTCTCCCTCTGCTTGTGTCTCTGCCTCTCTCTCTCTCGCTCTGTATCTCTCATGAATAAATAAATAAAATCTTAAAAAAAAATGGAATCATACAGTAAGTGGCCTTCTATGACTGGCTTCTCTCATTTAACATGGTGTTTTTCAAGATTCTTTGACAATATAGCATGTATCAGTACTTCATTCCTTTTTATGGCTGAATAATATTCCATTGTATGTCTATATTGCATTTTGCTTATCTGTTGATAAGTTGATGGTCATTTGGGTTTTTTACACTTTTTGACTATTATAGTGTTTCTATGAACATTTTTGTATGGACATTTGTTTTTGTTTTTTTTTTTAAGATTATTTTATTTATTTATTCATGAGAGGCACAGAAAGAGAGGCAGAGACACACAGACAGAGGGAGGAAAAGCAGTCTCCATGCAAGGAGCCTGATGTGGGACTCGATTCCTGGAATCTAGGATCACGCCCTGAGCCAAAGGCAGACGCTCAACCACTGAGCCACACAGGCGTCCTGTGTGGATATACGTTTTAATTCTCATTCAACTTATCCTAAGGAGTAGTATTGTGGGCCATATGGTAATTTTATGCTGAATTTATTGAAGAACACCAAATTGTTTTCCTCAGAGGCTGCACTGTTTTACATTCCCACCTGCAATGAATGTATTGAGGGTTCAAACTTCTCCACATCTTCAACACTTAGTGTCTTTTATTTTTTTATTATTTTTTTGTCTTACTGTCTTTTAATGCTAACTATCTTGGTAGGTGTGAATGGTAAATCATTGTGGTTTTGATTTGTGTTTCCCTGCTGGCTGTTAATATTGAGCATCTTCTCATGCTTAACCATTTGTATGTCTTCTTTGGAGAAATGCCTATTCAAGTCCTTTCCCTATTTTTTATTTGGTTTGTTTTTTTTGTTATTGAGTGCTAAGAGTTCTTCCTATATTCTAGATACTAGATCCTTATGAAATACGAGATTTGCAAATACTTTCTCCTATTCTGTGGATTATCTTTTCACTCCCTTTGTAGTATTCTTTTTTTTTTAATTTTTATTTATTTATGATAGTCACAGAGAGAGAGAGAGAGAGAGAGAGAGAGAGAGAGAGAGAGAGAGGCAGAGACATAGGCAGAGGGAGAAGCAGGCTCCATGCACCGGGAGCCCGACGTGGGATTCGATCCCGGGTCTCCAGGATCGCTAAACCGCTGCGCCACCCAGGGATTCTTTGAAGCACAAAAGTTTTAAATTTTGATGAAGTCTAATTTATCTAATTTCTCTTTTGGTCTGTGTGCTTTTTGATGTCATATCTAAGAAACCATTGCCAAATCCAAGGTCATGAAAATTATGTCTATATTTTCTTCTAAGAGTTGTATAGTTTTAGCTTTTCTATTTAGGTCCTTGACACATTTAATAAAATATATAATAACATTATATAATACATGTTACATATATATATTACATGTATATGTTAAATATATGTATATATTCAAACATTTTTCTGCATGTGGATATCTACCGGTCCTAGTACCATTTGTTGAAGGGACTATGTAATTTTGCACTTGAAAAAATAAATCAGAAGTGCCTGGGTAGCTCAGGCTGTTAAGTATCTGACTCTTAATTTCAGGTCATGATCTCATGGTCATAGGATCGAGCCCCACGTTGGTCTCCAGCCTTAGTGGGAAGTCTGCTTGTGCCTTCTCCCCCCACTTGTGCACTCTCTCTCTTAAATAAATAAGTAAAATCCTAACCAAAAAAAGAAAAAGAAAAAAAAAATGAACCAGACTAGAAATATTTTTTTAAGATTTTATTTTTAAGTAATCCATGCACCTAGTATGAGGCTCAAACTCATAACCCCAAGGTCAAGAGTTGCATGCTCTAAGGACTGAGAGAGCCAGGGGTCCCAAAGGTCTTTTTTTTTTTTTAAGCTCTAATACTTGAGTAATTTACTAGAGTTTGGGATTACATCTCCCTCATAAATTCAGATTTAACCACTGAGTAAAGATATAGAATTCACATTCATTTTGGTATTTTTTTTTTATTTTATTTATTCATTTGAGAGAGATTGAGAGAGCAGGGGAGGGACAGAGAGAGAGGGAGAAGAATCTGAAACATACTCCGCACTGAACACAGAACCCGACTCAGGGCTCTATCCCACGACTCAAGACCATGACCTGAGCCAAAACCAAGAGTCAGATGCTCAACCAACTGAGTCTTCCAGACACCCCCATTTTGAGTCCTTCTCTTTGTGGAAACTGAAAGATATGTAAATGTGTGTGTCTGTTTTAATCACTTTCAATTATTTGCTAGAAAACAATGGAAAGACTCTTACAAAAGGAGCTCTTAGAATGAAAACTTTGCAGGTGTCAGCTAGTATTTACTTGTTCATTAAAATCTAGCTAAGATTTGCTCAATTCCTAAAATACCATTTCATACTCTGTGGAAAGCCAGTTAGTGGGCTAATTCATTCATTTGATATGTATTTATTGACTGGATGTGCTAGGCACTGTTCTCAGTGCTTGTTTCTATGCATTCTTGGTTTGGGAAGAAGTGGTAGAAAGTGATGACATAATTTTTTATTTCATAGTTACCTTGATCTAACTAATTTTTTGTACTCAGCTTTACAAAGCACTAGGTCTTAAATTTGTGCTTTGATCTCCATGTGGTGTGGATTCAAATATGGGAGAAGCCGCAAGTCACCTTGAGTAGAAGAAGAAATTATCTCATTATACCACCTAGTAAACAACTAACACATTATACGTAAATCATTTTTACATATCATGGGTTTCACTCTGGCTTTGCTTCCTAACAATAGCTATCTCTGCCTCTGGCCATCTGTTAGATTGTCCTGTCCCCTTCCTCAGCCACATCTCTTCTACTCCCTCCAGCCTTAGAGAATCCCTGTGGCACTCTAAAGTCTATAGTATGTGTGATATAGCTCTTTCTAGCCTTATCTGCCAAACCCAGCTCAAGTCCTTTCTTGACCTTTCTAGAACCTATCAGGGTGCTTAGCCAAATGCAAGTGACCAGTCTTTTGTTATCTGGAACAGGCCCAGGTTTTCTTCAGATGGCTTTTAGCAGAAATATTTTCCTTTCTACATTTTCTTCACTTTCCTGATGCTCCATGTCTGTGACCAGAAGCCAAATTCTAGAGAGCAAAAGGCTCTACTACTATTCGTAGCATACTTATATTCCTTTTTAATGTTAGTTCCAGTGGGAACATAAAGCAGAAACTATGCAAGGCTTTGGTTAGACATGGAGCTTCTCCAAAATGCTTTCAGAAATTTCCCCCAAAGCGGGA